AAAAAAAAAAAAAAAAGAAAGAAAAAAAAAGAGATTGAGGTGCGTCCTACCCCCACGCTGATTGGTGTACAGGTAGCTAGAGTGCCAGATCCAGAGAAATCGACCCCGGTGACAGTGCCATCAAGGACCCGGCCACGCTGGGATCGGGATCCTAACAGCTGGTTGTGTTACGGCTGTACGGATAGCGTACCGCACATAGTAAGGCAGGTGTGGAAAAAGCGCCTTTCCTAAACGGTACACTGGAGAGGAGGGGGAAGTAGGTAGTACGCGTGCCGTGGCCGCCGCCTGCTTTGCAAAAGGCCCCGACGCCGACGGCACCGTGGGGACCGAGCCGTGGGAAGGTGGACCCGGCCCGTCCAGTTTTTTGACTCCTGCTGTTTCGAGGCTTGATCATCATCAGGAGCGCGCCTCCTTGCAACTTGCATTACATAACAAGTCTTTTCCAACTTTGTTCATCTCTCGCCCACGTGACTCTCATGCAAGCCATGCTTTAAAGTCTCCAACACACCAACACACACACACGGGTGAGGGAAGAATGGGCTGTCTACATGGTAGACATTTGTGCCTTCTCCCCAGTCCGAACATGGACAGCCATGTCAAACGACATAGCAGCACAAGACACATTATTCGCGACGCTGTCGGATCTCAAGATTCGGTCCACGCTCTCCGTCTCCGTTACCACGTCGACGAATCGATCAATGGGCAATCCATCCTTTTCATCCCGTCTAATTTCTGCTTCTCCATCTCCATCTCCGCCACTTTTCTCCTCCGCCCAAACTTCTCCCTTGTCGTGCACGACAGCATTGGCTGCATATCTATATACCTAGTACTAATGCAGGCTCATCTTCCGCACTAAACAAGCCCTGTCAGATGGAGTCCCTTTCATAGCGTCCACTTCATGCTTTTTTCCTATATTACCTATGTACCTGCGAGGGGGGACGTATTGCGGAGCAGAGACCGACTTTGCTCTCTGCCGCTCATCCTGGCATGGGACGATGTTGCTCTGCTTGCATGCTAGGATTGATGATCGGTGCCCACCCAGTCCCATCATGGAAGCATCAATTGGCCCGGACCGCTAACAGGGCCCTCCCTGCCCTCATCTGTCCTGGGCCGAATGCAAGCCTGGATCGTCGACTCCTGCACACCTTGACACCTGCTTTTGGCTGATGCAGCGGCCCCCGAACAACCGTCCATGGTACCCATTTGGCGGAATTTGTCTGAATCCAACCAGATACCGACTGCAGAGCCAGCCACCGTCAATCTCTGGCCCCTAGACCGATTCGTCTAGCATGACCGGTAGCCAATGCATCGGTGCTCCTTTGGGACGGGACAAGGGAAATTCACCAGCTTCCTCGAGCTGGCCGAGGGGCACAGGGGAGAAGGGGGGCGGCGGATGGGCGACACGTCCAGGCACAGGACTCTATCCCCATCTCTTGCCAGCTTACCTCACCTCAGGACTCGGGCTTTCTTTTTCTCAAGTCGACCGCAGCGGCAACGTACCGGATCGCTCTCCTTGTGTGCATCTGTGGTCGACGCCGCCAGGCCCCCGATTCCGCGGACTCCCGTTCTCCACCCGCGCGCGACATGTCACCGAGCGCAGGCACAGACACACAAAGGCACGGCCACTAGATGCAGTAGCAACAGATGACGGCGGCTGCGGCAGCGACTTGGACTCATTTCTCGTCCCATCCAAAGGACCGGCCGCCTTTTTTAAGCATGGGCGCTAGCGGCATCAGGTTCCCAGAGCCAAGAAAGCTAGATTATGCTGCTGTGGCTCTCCCTCCCTCGTCCTCTGTCCTCTTCTCCTCTCTGCCCCACCCCTACCACACTCCCCGGCCCCATGTCTGTGCTTCCGCTCCAACGACACCCCTTCACTACTCCAACTGCACCAGCAAGACCAGACCTGAGCCCCCCCAAGAGCTGGAAGTGGGTGTGGAGTGAGGTGTGGTTAAGGTGGGTGAGGGGTGTTGGCCTCATCAGTGTCTCCCTGTTCCTCCTCCACCAAGCCCGTGGCCCCACGCCCCGACAGCCTGGGAACATGGAAAGCCTCCACGAGTGCCTGGCTGGCCCCTTTTCCTCGCTCTGCACGCCACCTTACCTCAGGCCGCTTCGCCCCCCAAGCTGCAAGTACAGCTACGCCGTGAAATATTCACAACAACAAAAGTTGCTAATGAAGCCAAGGTCCAGTCCGCACATACTTTTCTTCCCACCACGATATATGCCCTGGGGCGCGCACACACGCGGTTGTTTCGAACAGGCCGAGCTCACTCCGGACGGCGGTCCACGGGTCCACGGGAGCTTCCCTTCATCAATCTCCGCAGTCTTAGACAGGACCAGTTCCACATTGTTTAAGAGTGACCTCTGGATCTAAGCTAATAGGTCTAGATTTTTGACTCGACGCCCAGGCTTGGACAAGTTCCGCGCTAGAGTTGCATGGAAGAACGCGCATACGGGGCTCCAAACTGCCAGACGACTACTGTCACCGTTCAACACATTTGCGCTGCATATCAAATCTGCGCGGACGGACTTGGTTAGGAACGCGGGTTTCACAGGATGGGCCTGACGGCGATGTATGCGAGTTAGGCCATACTATTCAGCTAGTGAGGGCGCCGCCGTTCACTTATCCATATCAGCATCAGGGCTGCTATCCGTTGTATGCCCAGCTGTCACGGCTTGTCTGTCACGGAATCCCAGACCAGAACCTCAGATCAACAATAGGAACCTTCTCATCGTTTCCAGCTAGTCTAGCGTTGATCAAACCTCAACCAGCGACTGTTGACAGGGTCTTGACTGTCGACTTTTCTGCCAACCCCGGCAAGCCCAGTCCCAGCTTTGCCCCCCACCAGCAGCCTGGGCGCTTGCTTTGGCTCGTTACATCACCTTGGACGGAAGACCCATGTCTCACAGTATTCACTGGTGCTTATCTGTGCCTCTATTTTTCCCTTTCATCAGACTTTGACGTCCAGCTTCTGCTCCAGGGTCACGTACACACACACAAACACACACACACATACACACACACACACGCGCCTGTAGAGAGGCTGGTGGCTCTAACTTGAGGGGTGAGTCGAGCCTGGCTTCAGTCGTCACTGACCTGACGATCTATTCTCTTTCTCCCATGCTAAGACTTTGGGTAGACGGCCAACCGAAACCAAGCACGCGCCGGTTATTCGAGCCGTTTAGGCTTGGGACAGCCAGCCGTTGCCACGTTCATCAATCTGTGCGGGTGGTGACTGGACTCCATGTCACGCTGGGGCAGCCTTCTTCAAAGTGTCTACCACGCTTCATCCACCCCAGTTCTCACGCGCCATCCCGGAACCTTAATCGACCTAGGGCCGCCTTTCCAAACCGCTTTTCCCGAGGCTAGGGAACCACCAGCAGCACCTTGAACTCGCAAGGGTGACTGCGCCAAAAACCCCTTCACCCCGCGCCACCAGCCTCTTTATCACTTTTCAGGACTACCATTTCCATCCCAGCCTATTCGTCAGGTCGCAATCACCACTGAGGACTGCTTGTTCTGTTCGCAATACCGCGCTGTCGCCAAGTCACGCACTTCAGTCACTTTTACAGCTACCCGTTTGGCTCTCACTCACCAGCACCATACCACCACCGCCAAGGGCGAGCTTCTTCTGGATACCGCATTCCGCAAACCTTCTTGTAACGCAGACGATATACCCACATGCCCGAGTAGTTTCGTCCCATTCCTGGACTCACCTATCGGCCTTGAGTCTTCGGACCTGACCTTGCCTATCTGCTCGAACGTACTCAGCGACCCTGTCTCTCAACATTTGCGCCTCATCGGACCCAAGTGAGTGTAACCACGATATATCGACGTATACCAACCTGCTGTTTTCTGTTTTCATTCTCTTTTCACGACGAAGGACAAGAATTGTCATTGGCTCGTACTTGGGACTGATCCCATACCAGTTGATGCTCCGATCAAATCCCCTTGGCTCCGATTTACCTCTGGCCAACCAGAATCGGCCATCTTCTCCTTACCAGCCTTCAAGGGCGCTCGAATCCAACCGGGGTTGTCTTGGACACAAAGGCTAGACACCACCACCTCATCATCTCCTTGCGAGTCTCGACTTCCCTTCCTAGCGTAGTACTTACCAGGAGCCCCCGCCATAACGCCAATCCCGTCAGCAGATCACCAAAGCGCGGGCTGCGATACCCGCTCTCCAGTTAATTCAGCTACATTGTGGCCGTCCAGGAGCCCCACTACAATCATCACCACCCGCCGTATGAGCCGTCGAAGGAACAGTTGTGGCTCTAGATGACCTAGACCCTCTTCAGGGCAGCACAGCTCACCCTCCTGGTTCTCCAAAACAAGGAGCGGTTGATCTCCCTTCCACCGCGGTTCACAACCCCCCCCCCCCCAAGGACAGCCCCATTTCAACTTATGCTGGGCTAGCAGCTGCTCTTCTCCCACGTCCAATCCTCCGCAAGTCTACTGAACTGGAGTCACTGTTTCGAAGAAATAACATCCATGCCCTGGACCAAAAATAACCAGCTCACCAACAGAAGTTCTCGATCTGGTCCACCTAATCGGGCTCTTAAGACCCAATACTCGGACGGATCTTTCGACAGACGTCTGCGTCTTCGACTACTGGGTTTCATTCCCTAACGACACTCAGGCTCATTGCACGTTCATCCTCCTCAGGCCGGACACAGTTTGGATCTCTTCACCCCGCTGCACGTCGCCCCGCCATCGCGAGCAGCAACCTACGAGGTCCAAGGCATACATCATTGTTGTTCGTTCGTGTTCTTGCACACAGAGCATGTCAGCTCTTTGGGACAACTCACCACACGCTCCACAATACCTTGCCTTCTTGGTTCTCTTGTTTTTCATCTAGAAACAACCACGCAGTATACTCCTAGCCACGAAAATGGGGGACTATTACCATCATTTTCTCACCTCCATGACGGGGGCAGCCGCCACCCAAAGCACAAGTCCGCAAGATTTACATCCTCAGTTTCCAGGTTCCCAGATGCCCATGATGGGCGGTGCCATGCCGGGACCCTATGCCAATCTAGGATATTTCACTGGCTTTCCCGACCCCGTAGGACTCACTGCCCCCAAATCATCGAGGAACCGAAGGAAGTCGGCACCAGGTTTCGATCACGTCAAGCACCGCCGCACGAGGTCTGGGTGCTACATGTGTAGGAGTAGGAGAGTCAAGGTGGGTTTATGAGCCGTACGCGAAGTACTCTTTTTCTAACTGCTGCGATAGTGCGATGAAACACGGCCAGTTTGCGATAGTATGTGGATCAGAAACAGCGTTGCGAGGACTCATCAACTAACTTGACCACAGGATGCCGGAAAGGCAATCGCGAATGCATTTATCCGGAGGCCCCGGCAACCAAGGGCTCGTCAGCCCAGTCAACGACACCCAAAGATGGATCGGCTACTCAGGAGACCAGTCCCGACTCCTCTAATGATGCTGAGGATCGAGAAGAGGACGCTGAGCCCGCCGGGTTGGACACCATTCTCGACGAGGACGAAGGGGACGAAGTATCCTACCAGAAGCAGTTTTCTGGGCCAGGTGGATGCAGCGCAGCCTCGTCCACTCTGCAGCGCACAGGGGGCGCACGCCTTGGCTCCGAGACGCCGTCGTACGAAGGGGCCAAAAGCGCTTCACCTTCTGCGTCTACGAGTAGTAAAGCAACCACCACATATGCGGTGCCAGATCTCGCCATTCTTTCCCTGAGTGGCCACGCCGACTGGTCACATCTACCTGTCGACTTACGCCAGCATCTGGAATACTTTTGCGAAAACGTTACGCACTATCATTACTGCATGCTTACTGACGCCCAAGACTTCTTCCGTGTCATTTTGCCAAATGTTGCTCTGCAAAACGAAGCTCTGCTGTATGCAATCGTCGGATTTGCTGCGTATCAGCGTACGCTGCAGGACCCTAATGGCAAAATGGAGGAGTTTTTGAAGTACTACAACAAGAGTGTTATCCTGTTGTTAAACTCGCTGAAGAGAAAGGAGAAGCATAATGTCGGCATGCTTCTGACGGTTCTGCAGCTCGCCACGATCGAGGTACGGAATAGCCTTTGGCCCATGGCCATGGAATCACGCTTGCTAATCAAAACTACAGGAGTACTTGGGTGACTGGATCAACCTCATGGGGCACCAAAAGGCCGCATTCGAGATGCTGACGCATCTCTTCACACCAGAGACGGTCTGTCAAAGCGCTCTCGGAAGAATGATCGTGTGCTGGTATGGACGTTTCGATATTTTTATTGCCTTGATGGGTGGGTTTCCCACAATGCTGGCCCCGAATGGTTCACGACCTTCGTTGAGTATTGCGACCAGCAGGCCATCTCGGACGAGGCCGATAGGCTACACTGGATGCTGGAGGCGGAGTCAGGCCGTCTACGAGTCATTTCGAGAGAGATGTCGACTCTGTTTGCGCGAGGCAGCAGAGGCCAGATCTCGCCAGAAGACTTCGCGGCCGAACACGAACGAATCCAGAAGTCGCTTCAGGGCTGGAAAGACGGCTGGGATCATGCACTCACCGATCCTTCTCGCCTCGTCACGGACTTCAGCCACGCACGAGCCATGAATGACGACGATATTGTAGACCCCTTCGCCCCGGGAGTTTTGTACGACTTTCCGATTTTCCCTACGACGTTGCTCACCGGCGAATTCAACTCCACAATGATGATGCACAAATGCCAGTCATCAACGACTGATAGGGGGCAGCTATACGAAGAATTGAGAGGTCACGCATACGCCATCTGCCAGATCTTCGAGGCTGTGGAAGAGTGGCCGTCAAGTCCAAAGGGCAGCCTAATCAACATCCAGGCCTGCATCGCGCTTGCGGCACTATTCCTACCTCAGGATGCCAAGCATCACGCCTGGGTCAGACGAAAGTTTGCACTGTTAGAGACCATGGGGTAAGTGGCTTCTTGAACAGTCCGATGACTGATGTTCACGGCATACGCAACCGAAGCTGACTTGACCTGCCCGTTCCAGGTACATACATCCGGTTACGCTTCGTACCAAGATGGCGGAGATGTTCCACGAGCCATCTTGCGTGCGGTGGTGGCTTCCCAACGACGAAGGCTACAGCCGGATTCTGCAGAACGTTCGTACCTTTGCCGACGAGCGAAATGCAAACGCTGTCTCCGCCCAGGCGGAAAACCTCCGCGAAGTCCGTCACATCTTTGCCAAAATGCAAATGGCTGAAGAAAACGTGGCTCCGGCTGGGTAGGGCACGTGAAGCTCGCCCCCACTGGGTCTGTCGCCATTCCATGACAAGCAGGGGGAGAGGCCCTGGCAATAGACTCCACGAGAGGAAAGCCGGCACAAGTTTTGTCGACAGAAACAAGAGGGGGAAAAAAAGGGGGTAGGGACAAGGGGCAATGAAAGCGCTACAGGTAGACCACGTTATACACAGGTACGGTTATTGCACGGTGTTTGCATCAAAGGGGCTTTTTCTCTGGGGCGGTGTCTGCGAGGCAGCATCGGTACGTGAAGGAAACAATACTGGTTTTGGGCATGCGCGACAATGACTGAGGCGAGCGGCGGACGATGCGCGAAGCCTGTCTGCCTTCCCCTACCCTAACAGCCCGTCATCTCGACTGCTTCAATCTTTTCTTTTGCAAGCTTTGAAGCTTTGAAGCTTTGAACAGGCCATGCCTCGCGGGGCAGGCCACGCATCTGGGCGTTTGTCGGTCTCTTCCATGGATATGATTTCCTCAGCCGCAGCTCCCGAAGAAGATCAATGTATCATATTCTTGTGCCATACTTCTTCCCTTTCCCCCTTTCTCTCTCTCTCTCTCTCTCTCTTTCTGAGAAACCTCGTTCACGTCATCGTCACCGATTCGAGGTCTTGTTCCTGTTCGATATAGACAATGTTGTCTTCTTCTTCTTCTCTTCTTCTTCTTCTCTTCTTCTTCTTCTCTTCTTCTTCTTCTTATTGTTTTCTTCGTTACTTTTACATACCTCCTGCGATGGCGTCAAACACATCGCGAGAATTACAAACAAGAATATTATACATGCATGGGCCTCGTCTCATTACAAATAACAGAAGAGAATAGTGAAGTGCCCCCGTGAGGACTTCGTGGCTGCAGGGCGTCTCGAGCAGCTCCGGGTCGGCAGCGACAACAACAACAACAACAACAACAACACTGACAACGATGCAGTGCCGTCCCGGCTGGGCCAAGAACACGCACGCACAAGAGAACAACGAAGCGGATGCCCGTTTGTCTGAAAAACCCCCCCTTTTTTGACGAAGAAAAGGAAAAAAAAACAAGTCTGTACTTGCAAGCTCATCAGAATTAACACAACGTCATCAAGCTTCCTCCCCTCTCATGCCTCTTTCATGTCCTCCGCTTTGGACTCCGCCTTGGGTTCATCGCTGCCCTTCTCGGCTTCTTTAGGACTGCTCTCGTCCTCTGTGGCATCTGCTGTTGTCGTCGCGGACTCGGCCGGCTTGGCCGAGTCCTTGGCGAAATCCTTGGTGCTGACGTCTTGATTCTCGGCAGACTCTTCCTCGGGCTCGGCGGAGCTGTCGTCGGCAGCCGTGCTATCTGACTCTGCAACTTCGCCGCCAGCTTCTGCCGCTTCGTCCTCTGCCGCCTTGGGCTCCGTCTCGGCCTCAGGTTCGGCCGATGCAGAGGGCTCTTGCGCCTTGTCTTCTGCTGGCGCGCTGCTCGGCTCATCTTCTGTTGACTCGATAGGCTTTTCCGCGCCACCGGGGTCTGATTCAGGTTTCGAGAGCCCAACCTCTTGAGGCTCTGACACAGTGGGCTCATTCTCTTCCGTGGGTGACGCATCGTCCAAGATCTCCTTCTCAACAATCACGGGCACGTCAGCCATTTCGGGCTCCTCCTCGACCGTGTCGGGGGCCGATATGCGCATCTCGCGCAGCTTGCTCGTCACGTCGCTCTCCTCTTCTTCAGCCTCGACGACGGTGGTCACAGCACTCCCGACAGACGGGCTCGCTCTAACGTGGCGTCTCGTGGCAGTGCGGCCCACAGGTTGGAAGTTGTCGTCCTCCTGGATGCCGCCCTCGCTGCGGTGTGGAGGCTTGACAATCGACATTGGCAGTTGCTTCTTATCGCCGCCGTTGGCGTCGGGCACGGCCGTCGCGGTCTCGAGACCCTCGGCCTCGGGTGGGAGCTTGTAGTTCTCCGCGGGGAGGAGGTCGTACATATCGCATACGGTCTTGAAGAAGACGTAGAGCCCGGTCTGGCCCTCGATGGTCCAGAAGACGGCACGGTGCTGGAACCACGCGTGGGCGAAGATACGGTGCAGGCGGCGGAAGACGTTGACGAGGTTCTTGACGGCCACGCCCTTATTGTGGACGTCGGAGAGGACGACGAAGCGCGAGGGGAAGATTTTAGGGTCCGTAACGATGTTCGCGGCCCAGTCGAGTGTGTGGCAGCAGTAGTCGATGGCACAGCAGCTCTTAGGTTGCTCGTGGACGGCGCAAAGGAACTGCCATTCGGAGGCGCGCATCTCGGGACACGTTGCGGCGCTGCAGGGTGGGGAGTCGAAGAGGAAGCCGACGATAAGGGTGTTGCACTGTGAGATGAGGAAGCGACACAACTCGTAGAGCCATAGCGTGCGGTCGATGCCGGGCGGAGGAGTCGCGAGCTGGATCGCTGTCGTACGGGTTATCGGGGCGCTGTTACTGTTGGTGTGGTAGTGGTGGAGGGCGGCGAGGTGCTCCTGGAGCTGGAAGGCCGAGTCGAGCTACGGAAGCAGAGATGTCAGCATGAAAAGCCGCGTGAGATGAAGAGGGCGAGATATGTTATGATGGTCTCGCAGTGTTGTGTACGAACCTCGTTAAGGGGACCAGCGGCGGACCAGCGGCCATGTCGGCGGCTTTGGTGCCTGGGTGTATGCGACGCCTCGAGTTCGCCTCGATCAGAGACTGCTCCATGGGCGATGCCTGGCGATTCGACTGTGCACCCATCGAGGGGGATTTGGGGCCAATTTGGATCTCGGCGGGCGGCGGTGGGCTGGGCAGCCGGGGCGAGCTCGGCGCCATTGACATTATGAAGGGAGCAGGCGAGAGAGGAGTGGGGGTGAATGCAGGTGTATTTAAAGCAGTGTTGTGCAACGACGGTGGGTGTCCTTTTTCGATTGTAAACCCCTTCGCCTTCAAAGGTCGCGGGCAGAGGAGTCGCAGAGGTGGTGGGCAGGTTACGTATCCCGTGTGGTGGTGGTGGTTGTCTTGAGCCAGGTGCCGAAAAGTCGAGGCGGGCGGCTAAGCAGAGCTCCAAGTCACCCACATCGAATCTCTGGGGGCCAGAGCTTCTCTGCCCCTGGTGTCATTCGTTACGCTGGCTTCTAAGCCCAACCACCCCCAGTCGGCTTAGTCAGAAAGAATTTCCGGGGGTCCTTTCTCTCACTGGCCAAGCTGCCGACAGTGGAGCGGGACCAGACGACGTCAAATCGAAAACGCAGCCCGGTACGTACCGAATCTGCAATACCTCATCCTCGCTGGCTTGGAAACTTCCTCACTTTACAAGTTACCTACTCAAAGCGCGTGTTCAGTTACATGTTTTTTTTGGTCTGTGTGAGATTAACTCAATATCTGCAGACGACCTCCGAAAATCGGTCCTCACTGGATTCAACCAGTACATCCTTTGCCCTCGCAGATCTGGTCTGAGCTCAGCCACAGGGTTCCCCTCCATCCCACCATGGATTTTGACGATGATGCCCCGCCTGATCTGGTAGAGACGGGCATCGCGCCGGACGAAGCACTGCCTCCTTCAGAAAGACAGGTCAAGGTGCCCATTACTATTGTGACTGGCTACCTGGGTGCTGGAAAGACGACCCTGCTCAATTATATTTTGACGGCTCAGCATGGAAAGAAGATTGCTGTCATCATGAATGGTCTGTCATCACAAGATTAAAGACAAGGTTGAGAAATGCGCTGACATCATTCATAGAGTTTGGCGACTGTAAGAAACCCCACAGAACGAAGTAGTGGGAAATGCTTACACGTTTCAGCACTCGATATTGAGAAGTCTCTCACTGTGAACAAGGGCGACGAGCAAGTCGAGGAGTGGCTGGAGGTTGGCAATGGTTGCATCTGCTGCTCCGTCAAGTAAGAATATGCGCATCGGGTCTATCCAAGACTAACATGATTCAGGGACACTGGCGTCAATGCCATCGAATCGCTCATGGAAAAGAAGGGTGCATTCGACTACATTCTGCTAGAAACCACAGGCCTGGCCGACCCCGGTAACCTCGCCCCCTTGTTCTGGGTGGACGACGGCCTAGGAAGCACCATCTACTTGGATGGCATCGTGACACTCGTCGATGCGAAGAACATCCTTCGTAGTCTCGACGACCCCGCAGGCAAGATTGAAATCGACGAGGACCACAAGGAGGACGACGACCACGGGCACGGTCCGCTTATGACGACCGCTCACGTCCAGATCTCGCACGCCGATGTTATTGTTATTAACAAGTCGGACCTCGTCTCAGAGGAAGAGCTGAAGCAAGTCAGGGCGAGGATAGAGTCCATCAATGGCATCGCGAAGATCCATGTCACCAAGCAAAGCGAGGTCCCCCAGCTAGAGGGCTTCCTGCTGGATTTGCATGCCTACGACCAGGTTACGGAGCTCGATACTAGCCAAAAAGGCCACAGCCACCTAGATTCCGTGAGTAGATATCACCAAGTGTTTATTTTGACTGTTGCTGATCTCACAGACCATCTCCACCATCTCGATACCGGTGCCAAAACTAGCGCCTTCGCAGCTGGAAAACGTCGATAGATGGCTGCGTAAGGTCCTCTGGGATCGTCGACTTCCTGGGGATGAGGCAACGGCGCTCGAGGTCCACCGATTAAAAGGCCGAATTATCTTCGACAATGGCGATATCAAGCTCATCCAAGGCGTTCGGGAGATATTCGAAATTCTCGACTCGCCGGACCAGTCGCGTGAGGCGGCGCAAGCTCAGGATGGCAAGATCATTCTTATTGGAAGACATCTGAAGGGCGTCGACTTCGAGAAGAGTCTAGTGGATCTCATTAACTCGAGCGCATAGCAGTAAACCAATCTGCATTATACATCTCGTGACTCAACATAGCGGAGTGGACTTTCTCTGAGTGGGTGATGTTCGTTGCTCCTGGCGCAGTCAGCCAGAGAGCCTGAACCGAATCGTTGTGAAGCGGTGCAAGTAGACGGACGTCGAGTGAAGGCACACAGTCCAGGTATGAGAAGATGAACCATTCGAAGAGAAGACCATGCAGCCTCATCACGGTGACATAAGGACGTAGCGAAGATCAAACACCTGGTAGAGGCATTGTCATATGTCTGGGTACTCGTCGTCGTCATTGCTGCATAGAGCAGCCGCCCTTGGCAACTGGAGGGTTATAACATTGCCACGAAACACGAAAGCCACGGCATATACAGAGAATCAACGGCCAGTCATTGTGAAAGCTGTCATCCCATGTATTGGGAACGATGTGATGTTAAAAAAAGGCCCCAGGAACACGTACCGCAGTAGCGCGGGTTCGCACTGATGCAGGGGTATTTTTGGAGGGGCTCAAGGCGCACAGGCCATCGGATCCATCTTTGACCGGTCCTCCGCGCGTTAGTGTTGGCTGGGCTTCGACCTCTCTACACGGTACAGTACACCAACAATCCCCGGTAGAGCTTCATTTGTGTGCAAGCTTCGAGCCACAACGATCCTTCGAGCGAACCCGACCTATCGGCGATCCGAATTGAACCCCGAAACCCCCGCGACGACGAGCCACCCGACGCGACTCCTCTTTGCGACCATTTACCGCGAAGATCCTTCACCATGAACCGACCAGGTAGGCCTGATCCTCTGTCGTCTCCTTTCAGCCTTGAGTACCCCGCCGTTTGCATGTCCATCAAGGCCATCTGGGTCCCGTCGCGACTCTCAATGCCGGCCGCTACGACTCTATACCATCGAACACCTTCTTGGGAAACTGCGACGATGCATGCGACACATCACGCCACCGTCGATGCTCTCAGTAGACCCCTCGCCATCCTTGGTGGCCGACGTAGCCTCGACACTTGGCGCCGACCCAACTCGATGTAGATATGGTTTCTTGATGGACGAGCAAGGAGTTTCTTTGAAATCTACTTCTTAAAGAACACCCTTAGGCCCATTTTTTCCCCTTCAAAAGGCCGCACCTCACGTTTCCCAAGCTGACAATGGGCGTGACAAGTAGGAGTAGCTCCTCAATCACTGCGTGGCATACCGGCAGGTTTTGGTGGCCAGCAGCAGCAGCAGCAGCAGCAGCAGCAGCAACAACAACAACAACCTGGGAGGACAGTATCAAACCGGTTACCAAATGGCAAGATAGGTACGGGCACGCAGTCTTTGTCCATGTGCTATGCGGTTACATGCGACCGACAAGAAGAAGCAGTACGTTAACGTAGAGTGTTTGGGATACACAGGCAGTAATGGGTCCGGCTGGGCATTTGGAGGAGGAGTGCCCATGGGAAGTGCTGGTCTGCAAAATCAAGCCCGTCAACTTGGAGGAAATGTGAGCTTCGCGCAGAGCTTAAGCGGGTCGCAACCGGCAACACCGCTCGACCTTTCGTACGTTCTTTCCTCTTTCCCCTTCCCACGCGACCACCCCCTGCCCCTACCTCACTTCTACTCATGCGATCACCTTCCACAACGGCGACACCAGCCGCGATCCGACCTCCACACCCAACCGCACTTCAGCTCCTCCTTTCTTCTTGCCCCTGCGTCTCTCTCATCTCGTCTCCTCTTCTACGACCATGGGCAAAAAGCAGCGCCTGGTTCGAAAGAAAGCTTCGGCAAAGGAGAAGATGGCTTCCCCTTCTTTCCCTGGAGAACTGCCCAAAAAGGGCTACGCTGAGGTTCTCAAGAAGTAATATCACCTAGGATATGATCCTCTCTGCGTCTCTGCCTCCGTCTTCCCCCTCGGCGCAACTCATCTCAAGTATCTCAACAATTTGATGATGGTGGTTACTGATTTATGAAGTAGCGAATTTCCGTCTCTCTCCAACAACGCCCAGATGAATACCAGCGGCCAATCAAACATGTGGTCATCAACAGCATCGCGGAATTTGGGCGGCGGTCCTGTGCCGCGCAACCAGCAGTCGACACCACTCTCGGCACAAAGCACGCAGGATGAGCTGTTCACTCCTACGTCGGCTCGTCAGGGCGCCTTCCGCTTCGGTAGCCAGAACAGCGGAGGCCCAACTCCCCAGGCGCAATCCAACCCGGTGGATGACTTCCCGCCTTTGAACAGGAACGCAAACGGTGAGATCGGTGGTGAGCGTGGTGCCAACCTGATGCCTTCTCTGGGCTTCGGTAACCAAGCGACCGGCTCGTCCGCAGCGATACCTCCTCCCCGAAGTGCAGGCGCAGGTAATGGTCTGCTCAATGCGTTATCTGCGAATAGTAGACCAGATGGTCGTTCACCATCGATCGCCAGCGCACAGGGTATGTCAACTCCGCCGTGGTCCGCCCTTGCTCTCACTGACGTGTTTCAAGATCAACCTAGAACACAAGACGCATCTATCGAGAAGAGTGGCGCTCTTCACGAGGAAACACCGGGCGACAGCTCATCTCAAGCCGCAGAGAGCCGGAATTCTCTAGGAGCTATCGGTAACGACTCAGTCACCGGTAAGGCGAAGGATGAGAAGGACGGCCAGTCCCCTGAGGTTCAGGACCCCCTGGCAGGAATGGCGCCCATTGACAAGTTCGGCATGAAGGGTCTGCGTGTTCTCATGAACAACTATCCTAGCTATGGAGCGCTCATGCAGGGAATGGATCCCAACGAGTTTGGTCTCAACGTTAACTCGTCAGAGTAAGGGATTCTAGGCTCGTGAGATAGACCATTCGCTAATCGTCACAGTCTCATCTCCACGCAGATTTACTCCCTCTTTGACGACACGCCGCCGCGCCCCGCTATCCCCAACGTTCGCCTCCCGAGTGTTACAAAGTGACCAACGTCCAGCCTATCGACACGAAAATCCCGTCGTTCAATGAGGAGACACTCTTCTGGATCTTTTACAGCTGCACGCAGGACATTAAGCAGCACTTGGCTGCAGTTGAGCTGTGTGTATATTGGCCCCCCCTGCTACTTACATTAACTGACAGTGTTGCAGGCACAATCGAAACTGGCGATGGCACAAGAAGCTGCATATCTGGCTGACTAAGGATGAGCTTATGATGCCTACCAGTCTCGGTCCTCACCACGAGCGCGGTTACTACATCGTCTGGGACACCACCAATTGGCGTAAGGAGCGGGTATGTCTCGATCCCTCTCGAACGCTTGTCACATTATGCCGGCCACTAACATTGGAGACAGAGAGAGCTCACGCTGCACTATGGTGATCTTGAGACGAATCTGGTACAACCGGCTGCATAGGTTGATTGTGGTTATGGTTCACTAGCTTTCTCGTCGTGTTGACGAGGCTTGGAACGGCTTCATACCCGAGCACTGGGCATTTTACCCGACAGGCGTTGAGTTCATGTTGATACGGCAACGTTTTACAGGCTTCCGGATTGAAGCTGGGCTAGGCAGATGGCAAAAGCTGCCCAATACTGCTTTGTGTGTATGAGTCACTGATCATTGGGAATTACACACGGCCGTCAAACGAAGGGAAATAAAAATGACGATGCCGATGCTGCGAAAACCGATTGCTTCTGTGTTCCGTCTTGCAAACGGTGTGTGATGTTGCCTGGTCCAGTGAAAAGCACGTTGGTATCGGCGACCGGGAGTGGGTCGTCGATGACGGCTCCGTGCGCCCCTTCCTTTCGCGGAAAACTCCGACCTCGCGCCACATAAGCTCGTAACCCCTGCTCCCTGAGCGAAGACTGATGAACTCATCAACTCCATAAAGCTACCAGCGGACTCCACGTATCTAATCCGACCACATCTCTATCCTTCGCACAGCGGCGACACGCTCCTCCGCCTCTCCATACCAGTATTGTGATCTCCACGAGGCGTGCACCAGTCTAATTTCTGCGACCGAAAGCCAAAACCATTTCTCTTCAGCGAAAGTCCTAATCTCCACCCCGATTCTCAACGAACGACCCGAAGAGCGCCCGGTCTGACCGGAACGCAATCCCGATCACACAAACACGCACGCATCGCAAACATGGCAAACGAGCAGATATCGCTGCCGTATCTGGTGGTGATTCTGCTGGTCACGGCGTTTGTGATCCGGTTCCTCTTCTTCTCGCCAGCCCCGCCGCCGGCGCCGCGGCAGAGCGCCCAGTCGGTGCTGCGCACGCGCGAGGCGGCGGTCGAGAGGATACAGCAGATGTTCCCGCAGGTAGACCGACGGACGATCCTCTGGGACCTGCAGAGAAACGGCGGCAACATTCAGGCGACGTCGGAGAGGATTCTTGCAGGGCGGATGGAGACGGTAAGTGCCTGGTTACCTGATTCAGCTCGGCCGGGATGGGAGAGTTGCCGCGATGGTGGCACTAGCGACGGTGACGCTGGCAATGGTTTTATGGCACCCGCCAGAGCTACTTGTCACGACACCGGGCATCATCTTGCAAAGCGCAGACTTGCTGACTATAACACGACTCCTGCAGCCCCCATCACGTTCCAACCTCCTCCCCCACCGGGAGCCAACAACGCAGCGGCAAGCTCCTCAGCACCGGCCAAGGCGCCCGAGAAGCCGACGCAGCCGGACCTGATTACGAGATACAAGCTGCAGGACAAGATCGCGGCCCAGGAACGGCAGCAGGCCGAGGCGGATGCTGCGGCGGAGAGGGAGAAGGCCAGCAGGGGGTGGAGCTCGAACCGGGACGAGAGGCAGTCGCTACTCCAGAAGCGGAGGGACGAGATGATTCTTGCGGCGAGGCGGAAGATGGAAGCCAAGATCGCCGCGGAGAAGGCGGCGAGCTGAGGGGCAGAATGGTGGTCTGGTGGGCTCCAGGGAAGGTGGTTTATGAGCGTTGTTTGCCAAACGTGAGGGCAGTGGCGGGTCTGTGCATTTGGGAATCTGTACACACACACAGCGGGAGTCTACGGCTTCGGTGGGTAGCTGGGGAAACAATTGAACATATGAAGAAGCTGCCAACAGCAAGGTTCGACCATAACTCGGTCGTTTGATGCTGAGTCAACGGGTCGACTATGTGGCGTGATCTGCCATACGTCCTAGGGACGATCGCATCAAGGGATAGAGACGATCCATAAAAGGCCCCGATAAGCACGTGCACTGTAACTTGATGAAGTGGAAGCCATGCCTTCAGCAGCGCTTGCATCCTACGCAAAACCTTGCGCCGTCGATTTGATGCCAATCTCCTACGTGGCAGGAGTTGGCGGTCCTGGCCATTTGCTGGGGGACACGAGCTGATCGTCTCTCCTCCGCCGCTTGACCGGAACGCTACGGCGGAGCAAACTAGACGTCAACCAAGAAACTGTAATCGACAGTCGATCATGTCGTCGCGTCTCCCTCATCTGTTCGCCTGCTCTTCACGTATCGTTTTCGTTAAGATGCCATTGAGAGTGATTTGGCGCCTCACAAACCGGGCAAGTATCGTGTGCAAAGCCACGACCACATGCTCAACTCAACCGAGGTTCTGTACAGAGTCGAATCAGGGCGTCCCTGGTAGAGATTTGTCTCACCCGTCCAGGGCAAAGACACAGCGATCTCGTCCAACAGTCGTTACACAAATCGTCGATGCGGCGATGGCGTCGGACTGCTATGTAAGCCATGTAGGCCCATGCCGGCCCGTCTCCCTCGTTATCTCCCGATTGTCATGTGCGCGGCCCCTGTTGGCCCGTCGGGCTGAGACTTTGCTCCTGGTGAGCCTGCTTTCCCATGACAGAAAACGGCTGTCCGGTGCAGCTTGTCTTTTCTGCTGTCGTCTTCGAGCACGTCCACTGGACCGCCTCGCCTCACACATGGTTTTGCAAACAGGGTCTTTCATGTATCTGACTCCTTACCGCCTGGGCTACATGTCCGTTTTGTTCCCACACTCTTCAGGCCATCAGAGTCAAGGTGGTGGGGGCCTGGACTGACTCGGCCGGTGTTTTCGTCTTCGGCCCTCGGGAGACCAGACACGTGGGGGTCGCCTTCTCTTCAGTCTAGGCGCTTTAAGTGAAATGTCTTGTAAAATAAAATAAAAACATTGTGCTCCCGTCGTCTTTCAGGGGCGGATGGTTTTTGAGAGACAAGAAAGCCTTGTGGGCTGTTCGGATGCGGCGACACAAAGGAGGAACATGAGAGACACTCCATCGCACAGCGTTCAGCGTTCAGGTCAAGGTCAAAGGAAACATATCGGAGTTGGGTCTTCCCAGGGCCTGGGCCGCAGGTGCGCCTCCTTCCTCCTCCCGATGCGGTGGATTGATCAAGTGAGTAGGGTCTGGAGCCCGGATGGTAGGCCTCCCTGGGATACCGATATCGCTCTGATCCCGATGGTTCCCTTCTCACGACCCTAGTGTTTCGTGCACGCCGGCGCACCTGCAATCGCCTTGGTTGCCTGGAAGGTCCCCTAGATCTCGTCGTTGTTCGGATCTAAAGAAAGACCCTGCATTTGCCGCATGTCAGAAAACAACCCGAGGTTTGCTGAGCGGGAAGCAAAGTGGAAGATGGGCGGAGAGAAACGGCGTGCAGTGGCGAATCCAAAGTAGCAGCCACGCCACAGAAAAGCGCCAGAAACGAGTTCGTCTTGTAAGAGTAGCAAAGTAGACGACAAAGCTAAAGAGGTTGAGCGGGGTCGTTTGACCAGAGGTATCTTGCTTCTGACTGGTTCGTAACGGATTAGGGGACTCTGTAGGGGACTGTGTAACCGGATGGTGGGATGGGTGAGGGGAAGGGGAAAGGGGAAGGGGGATGAAAACGATGTCGGGATGGCTGGATGGTTTCCAAAATGCGGCGACGACGTGGGCCGGCGGCTGCACCTCACTCGCTGCATTCTAGCGCCGCCTGTGACACAACCCTGGGCACCGAGACCTGTCACTACATGCCCTCCATTTGCTGCTGATCCAATGCTGGGTACCTACCTGTATGGTCTCAACAATCGCATTTGGGCCCCGTCGAGCAATACTCACGGGATCATGTAACGAGCATAACGTAGGTGGGAAAGGCATTGCAACTTGCACCTGACGCCATTCGACTTGCCGCAACTGCGAGTCTGGGACTTCAATGGCAGAAGACCCCTGCAACACTGAACGTTTAGCGTTCTGCTTGCGCACATGCCCGTGGGACTCTTTCTCTGCGGGAAAGAAAAAGAGAAGGGCGCCCATAGGTATTCATGCAAATGCAATGGCGCCATGGGCCATGTGCTTTCTGCGCTGCGGGTGGGTGGGCTTGGGGCATGGATGGATCAGATTAGAGACCGATAAGCCCCGCTTCGACCCAACATTTCTGGTCTTTCACATGCTTTCGAGAACGTCCATCTCTCTCTGTGTCTCTGTCTCCGTTGCTCGCCCAAAAGGCAGGGCGAACAGTGAGGGAAAAGGCTCGTGGACGTAAGCATAGGTACCTTGGATGGGAGAGGGGGGCGTGCTGTCTGAGCTCCCGGGAGTGTCAGTCCGCACCTTGTGGTACGCCCTGCGCAGTTACTTGCACAGGACGCAGTAACAGACGCAACAAAGAGTCTCGAGGACTCGGGTAGGTTTTTGGTCCATAGGTACCCGTGCTTCGAGAGGTATTATCTTGCAAACATGAGGTAAACTTTCCTCCTCTGACGGGACGCTTTTGGCCCTCTCGTATCAGACCAGAACCCCGGCCGCCACCACCGATGGGACAAGGTACAGTACAACCCGCTCACCAAACGCCGGTTCAGCAGAAAACATGTGTATAAAAAATAAAATAAAAAAATAAAAGAAGCCCTTGGAAACCAAAATCCGCCTGCCAACACGTCTCTCACCAACCACTCACTCACTCACTCGCTACCTGACCTTGCACGCTCCCGCTCCAGCTCCAGCTCCGCTTCTTTCGGTTCCTAGTACTGGTCGCCTTACACCACCTTTACCTAGCTTCTCTTCCCGAGTCTTTTTTTTTCCCTCTCTTCTTTTCCAGTTTCTTTGTCTCACCTTGCATTCTTCAACCCGCTCAGAGAGCTTCACCCCACAGACTTGACCTGGACCTCGCTTTTGCCATCCTCAATCTATCATCCTGCTCTTGTCTCTTTCGGTGTGCATCTTGAACCCCGGCATTCCTCCCACTCTCACCTTGGAGACGACCGTTCGTTGGCGTGAGCGCATTCAAAACGTCGGTTTCCACGGAGGAGACCTTTAACTGAATCGTCTCAAACACCTCTTTCGCCCACATTCCCCGATTCACAAGTAAAGGGCGTCGGGCTAGAACTATCACCGTCGAACCGTAGCATTCCTGACCTGGCGACAACGTTCCCGATCGTAAGCCCGGGAGCTTCACCAGTTCACCAGGAAGTGCGAACAGACCGCCACGCCCATCTCACCGAATTCCCTAACGACATTGGGTTGTTGTGGTCTTTTCCCAAAAGCCACCACCGCGGACGGACGTGCCTTGCGCCTCTCCCGACAATAAAAACATAATGCCCCCCTTGCGACCCTGGGGTCCCATTTTCGAGGAAATCACCCTGCCGCAGAATAGAATGTCATCGACCGTTTTCTCGATGCTGCCCACATCTCTCCAGTCCCGGCTCCCGCCGCTGCGGTCCATCCGCAAGAGCGCCAGCATGCAGACCCTCACCTCGAGCAGACAGTCGCACACCCGCTCGCTGTCGGGGCTCGACGGCGTGCACCCCAACATCACTCAGGCCCGCATCATCTCGGAGAGCACCGAGGAGCACATGAGCCTGGTGGCCACAGAGCACCACCAGTCGTCGCGGACGTACGAGATGCGGGCTACGGCTGACAGGCACGAGCAGGACAGGCGTCAGGCGGAGCAGTTTCGCCAACAGCAGCAGGAGGCAGCGAGTCAGTGTTCAAACGTGGATTGGCGGTTTGCCCAACAAGGTAGGACTCCTCTCAAGACCACGTTCGAAGGATCCCGCGGCTGACATAATCATACTCTAGGCCTTGCTCTGATTGCAGTTGCTCAGGATGAACTAAGGCAGCCCTCGCGGCGGCCAGCGGTCGACTTTGAACGGAAAGCATTCCTGGACGGCGTCGAGTATATCCTCAAGGCGCTCCCAAGTGACCTGAACGAACACGAGCTCCACCGACTCCGCACGTCGACGCCCTCCAACTTCATCCCTCCGGCCTCTGCCGGCGGCCGGGCGTACTCACCGTCGCGGGGCGCGCACCACGGGCGGTCGATCCTTCACAGGGGCGTGCAGACGGCCGTCGTCAACATCTTCCTCCTCATTCACCTGGCACTACCGTATATCATCCTCCTGCTGCGGCTAGCGGCCCGCACGGAGCGGGAGTACCGGATATCGGAAAACCTGGTGGGCGCGGGCATGGGCCTCGCCAACGCCATCGGCAGCAAGGGCATGCGCATAACGGGCGCCTTGTGCAACGTCGGCGACGGCAGGGTCGGCCAGGCACTCACGGAAGCCATCGCCTGGACGGTCGAGGGCTTCACGGGCGGCCTGTCTGATGGCGTCGGCGAGGGCTTGTCACTCGTGGCACCCAAGCGGCAATGAGACGCACTATAACGAGGATGACGACTAAACGGTAGAGAGGGAATCACTTGGGTTTTGGGTTTAGACTTAATTTTGGGGGGTGTATGTTCTTGTTTCCTATGTCAGGTTTGGGTATGAGGCTACTGGGAAAGGATTGAACGCATAACGGATCTTTGAAAGAGTCGGACCATAGGCGGAACAAACCGAGTTTTATCGGAGCTGCTCAGTTGGTGTCGACTTGCTAGAGCTAGTCAAGCCAGACAGGCTGCTTTCTCTGGGTCGAGTCTACCTCTCACTTGAGAGTTTAGGAGAATCCTGCGAGTCTACATTGATCAGGATGATCAAAGAATTGGTCGGGACATTCCGGCAGGAATGAATGATACGGACGATAGAAATGAACCATTAGAGAACCTTGGTCTTCGGCATGAACAAGTGACATGAACTTTTTATGATATGTGAATTCAGTCGGTATGTATCTTGTTCTGTCCGTAGTCTTGGTGAGACAAGTGTGGCGACGGGCCTAACTCCGATTATACTTGAAGTGTACCTGTAAACATGATCTAGGTGGTGGGGGTGTTTTAATTGGTGAGCTCTCTGTAGTCCAGTACCAAAGAGTTGTCGACATACTCTACGACCCAAACACTCAACTACCATCGTAGATGGTCGAGCAGAGACGAATCGGGGAACATTTCTTGCCGGTTCGATTCGAGGAGACGGGGGTGTTCCGATGTTCCCTTAAAGTAACGCTAAATCTGCGCGACATGGGTGGAAATCGGAGCCACACGGCGCGCCATACCTAGGTTGAGTGGCTCACAACCCGTCCCCTGCCAGTCGCAGCGAGAGACCCACCAAAAAAGTGCGCGAATGAGCTGATAAGACCGGGAAAAAAATCGTTATCGGCTCGCCTCCTGTCCACCTCTGAGCTCTATCGGTTTCGACGACGGAGAAAAAGTTACAACGAACCTGTCCTTGACATCCCATCCACTCCCGTCACTCCCTTTTTTTCTATCCCAATCAAAGAGTTGTATTGTATCGTTGTTTTTGTCTTCAGTTACTACTGTCTTTAATCACACACCAAATGTTTCGCCAATCCATCAGAAGATGCGCTCGCATCGGCGGCGCAAGCTTCGCGGCCCCTTCCCTCCGAACGACGAGACCCTTCACCCTCAAGTCGATCGCGCAGTCTTCGCAAAGCCCGCTTCGCGTTCCCGTCAGCTTCAATGCATTCAGACTCTATTCCAGCGAGGCTTCCGCCGCAGTAGCTGCTGAGCCGGCTGTCGAGACAACAGAGCCTTCCGGCTTGACGACAAAATTCAAGGATCTGGACAAGCTGGGCGTTCACAAGAACTTGGTCGACACCATCACCAGAGGCATGAAGTACGAGAACATGACCGATGTCCAGAGCAAGACGATTGAACCAGCCCTGAAGGGCATGGATCTGTAAGTTACATCCAACGAACTGGACTCCCTGTCCTCCCGTCCAGCTACTGACAGCTTTTCAGGGTCGCTCAGGCGAAAACCGGTACCGGAAAGACCTTGGCGTTCCTCGTCCCCGTCCTGCAAAGAATGATCGCGGCGGATCCATCGCTCGCCACCCGCAAGGCGCGATTCTCCGCCAACGCCGGCGACATCCGTGGAATCATCATCTCTCCTACCCGTGAGCTTGCCGAGCAGATCGCCATCGAGGCCGAGAAGTTGTGCGCGAACACGGGTCTGGTCGTCCAGCGCGCCGTTGGTGGAACACGAAAGGGCGAGATGCTCATGAAGACGCGGAGACAAGGATGCCATCTTCTTGTTGGTACGCCTGGACGTCTCAACGACCTTCTCTCGGACCCCCACAGTGGTATCAGCGCCCCGAACCTGGCCGCTATCGTCCTCGACGAGGCCGACCGGATGCTCGATGTCGGCTTCGAGAGGGAGCTGCGGCAGATTGTCGATCAGCTTCCCGACCCTCACACTTCCCAGCGCCAGACTTTGCTCTTCTCCGCCACCATTCCCAAGAACGTCATTGCCCTGGCCCGCGAATGGGTCCGCGCCGACAACTTTGACTTCATTCAGACCATTTCCGCCGACGACGTTCTCACGCACGAGAAGGTGGCGCAACATGCCGTCAACTGTAGAGGCTGGGGCAATGTTGTCCCGGCCCTCTACGAACTGATTGAGAAGGAGCTCGAGAAGCGTAGCAACAACCCGGACCTGATGCCCTTCAAAGCTCTCGTGTTCCTCCCGACATCCGCCTGGGTCGACCTTGTTGGCGATGTTGATGAGAGAATGAGGTCCACTCGCGACAGAGTCTTGGGCTGGAGAATCCATTCCAAGCTCACTCAAGCGCAGCGCACCAGGTCGGCCGAGAACTTCCGCAGGGCCAAGTCCGGCATCCTGTTCTCCACCGATGTCACCGCTAGAGGTCTCGACTTCCCCAACGTCACCCACGTCATCCAGGTCGGTACCCCGTCGGATCGTGAGCAGTACATCCACAGACTCGGCCGCACAGGTCGCGCAGAGAAGGAGGGCGAGGGATGGATCATCCTCCCCGAGTCCGAGGTTGGTCTGGCCCGCAGGGAGCTCAAGGGTCTTCCCATCCAGCCCAACACCTCCATCGAAGCCGCCGGGTTCGACTTCACCAGCCAGTCACAGCCGTCAGAGCTGATGGCAAAGATCACGGAGATCACTTCCCAGCTGAGAGAGGATACTCTGAGCAGCGCCTACCTGTCGCTTTTCGGACAGAGCAAGGAGAACGCCCAGGAGAAGGCCGACGAGCTCCGTGAGTGGTTCATCCACGGCATGCAGAAGGATGATACGCCGGCGATGAGCGCCTCTACCGCTGACAAGCGCGGTCTGCGCAGGATCCGCGGCCTCAACATCACCGACCGCCAACCCAGATTCTCCAGGGACGACCGTGGCGGACGCGGGTTCGGTGGCGATCGTTTTGGTGGCGATCGCTTCGGTGACCGTGGATCTCGGGGTGGTTTCTCCGATCGTGGATCTCGGGGTGGTTTCTCTGATCGTGGATCTCGGGGCGGTTTCTCCAACCGTGGTGGCTTCTCTAGCCGCCGCGAGCCTCAGGACCCCTTTCAGAAGATGGAGTCGGAAGGCTCCGATCGCCGTTCCCGCGGCGGTTTCGGCCGTGGTGGACGTTCCGACGGCGGGCGCGGTGGTTTTGAGAGACGCGAGAGGGCGTCTTTCTAAGTGTTGAGCATGAGCGAGTGAGACGAGAGAAAAGGAAAAGGCTTCCGATGAAATGGAAGAGGTCTGCTACTACCACGACGTTTTGACGACCTCGACACGGAATTAGACATGTCATACCCCACCATCCCCCTCCCCTTTTTGTACCATACCATGTTTGTTCGGAGCAAGAAAAAAAACGGCTTTTGTTTGGCGGCGCGGGGGTCTTGCGTTGTTTGTACCACCACTACCATCAGGATGGGTTGAACTCCATAAAAGAGCTTCACTGTATACCACGGGGGAAAGGAGGAGCACCGCTTTATCTATGTAAATAATCTTGAGGACAATTAAACCTCCAAATCTCTTCTTCAAAGGGGCCGTCGGCCTTCTGCTCACCATCTGCAATATGTCTGAACGAAAGCTCCCAGCACCCGAAACTATGTGGTATCGCTACACACTGCCATGGCAAAGAGGACCCTTTTCCATATTGCGTCCAAGCAGATTTTCCCTCGGTTATGTAATGTCAGTACCGCTCCAAGCAACGCCCGTCGATGCCGTTGTAGCACATGCAAAAGCCGATTCCTTTGTTTCCAAGCGGCCATACGCGCTCCCGATAGAACCCCCTGAACGCCCTAGCAATGAAGCCAAGAATGCGCCTCTCGTAAGGATGAGCATCTTCAGCACCAGTAAAACACAGACCAATCCAACTATGCGCCCCTCCCGTTACCGGCCAGCCAAAAGCGCATTTGCGTCCCAGAGGAGAACCCTCTCGTCCCAGCCGACCGTCGCTACCCACCCGCCAACACCAAACAGACACCAATCCACGCCGACAACGAACTCGGTATGCCTGTTCATGATCCCGACTTGCGCGCCGGCCTGCGCCCCGCCCGGTGGCCCCGTTGGTGGCGCGTTCGACCGGTCGTCCCACAACCTGACCGTCATGTCATAACTCGCCGTCAGCAGCAAATCACTGGCGTGCGGGCTCCAAGCCAGCCTGCGGACGGCGTACTCGTGCCCTTGCATGACGGCCAAGGGCCCCGCCGTCGGGTTCCGAATGTCAAACGTGCGCACCGCGCGGTCGACACCGCCCGTCGCGATGACGGTGTCGCGGTACTTGTTCCAGTCGTGGGTGAGGACCTCGGCGGGCGCGGCGGAGGGGAAGGAGGGGCCCGCGGCGTGGACGGGGATCATGGAGGTCAGATGGTAGCGCGAGGAGACGGGCGTGCGGAGGTCGAAGATGCGAATCTGGGAGTCCGAGGAGACGGCGGAGATGACGTGCGGGTTCGAGGGCTGGAAGGAAGCGGAGTAGGTGCAGTTCCCGACGGGGAGGGTGCGGAGGGAGTGTTCACGGGTCGGTGACCACTGCAATGGAGGATTAGCATGCATTCGCACGGACAGCGTGTGTGTGGTTGACATGCCACTTTGATTGTGCCGTCCCATGAGCTCGAGACGAAGGTGTCCTTCGTGATGGGGCTCCAGTTGACGGAAAAAGTCTCGCGCTTGTGCTCATGGAAGTTCATGACGGGGAAGTCCTTGACCCCGAGGTCGAAGAGTTTGATGGAGCCATCGCCGCAGGCGACGACAAGCTGGTTCTCGTTGATCTCGGACCAGGCGAGGTCATATTGCGAGTCGTTTGTGTCGAACCTGTTGACCGGGCGAGGGTGTTCAGCATCTTTCCGATGCCCGGGAGAAAAGCAGGGAAGGGAACTCACGTCGTCTCGACCTCGACACCCCGGGCCGTCAGGGCGAGACAGAAGACGCGGCCGTTGCCGACGATGCCAAAGTTGGCCGACGATGCAACGGCGATGCGCGAGTCGTAGTAGGGCGAGTACTTTACGGCGTACGGGTTGTAGCCCTGCGTACGGAACTCGAGCATCGGGGCCATGGCGGGCGAATGCGATGGCTACCTGATGCGGATTGCGGCCCGTGTGATGCTTTGTTTGCTCGAAATGGGAGAGGTTGTGTAGCGTACTGGCTGAACACACGGACACACAGAGAAAAGCATATGAACGCGGGCGGGATACCTAGCTCTGCCCGGGGCAGTGATGTAACGCCGATCCGGGGTACCTCGGCAGACCGGTGGGTGGTGGGAGGGGGAGCCCAGTGGATAGTGGGTGGTGTGGATGGCGGGGCAATACAGCACTCAGGGATGCGTTTATCGGGGTTCTTTGTTCGAGGGGCAATCCTGGGAGTCGAAGCACGTGAACAGGCGCTACACACGCGCCTCCTTGCGACGCCCTTTGGAAAACATTTGGAGAAGATGATATTTGACCGTGGAGTGGCGGCTTCACCGCCGAAACTGAAGCTTCCCACTGCACATATTCCATGGTTTTGCCATACGTCATCTTGTGTTGACTATTTGCACAACAGTTAACCACTTATGCATCCTCGACGACTTCATGGAGTCCTTTCTCATCAGGAAGAAGCGCAAGCTGAGTTCGGCTGTGGAAAAGGAGGCAGATGACGACGAACCGACGGAGGTGAAACTGGCAATTCTCTCATCGCTTCACCCAGCATTTGAGCAAGAAGTGCTATTGGACGTCCTCCTGGCGCACAATGGCTCTGTCGCAGAATCACTCGAAGCTCTGCAGGCGCCAACCCTCGCTAAGAAATCGAGTGGGAGTATAGGCGCCCAGAGCTCTCTCTGGCATTTCGCCGTGAAGTCGGAAGACGGCAACGGAGGTACCAGTTCGCCGGCCAAGAAGAAACTCATGTCTAAGAAAGGAGCCACGCTTCACCTGTACGACCCGGCAGACATCGCCGAGCATACACCCTGCACTGTCATCCATAACTTCCTCCCGCCGGAGGAGGCCAACGACCTCCTGCGCGAACTCATGATGGAGGCCGAGTCTTTTGAGAAGAACGTGACATTCAAGCTCTTTGACAACGTCGTGGCCAGCCCGCACACGTCCAGCTTTTATGTCGAGAGCTACGATGAGATCCAGAGGCAAAAGACAGACTACCTCTACAACGGCGCCAAGCTCAGCGATGTCCGCCGCATCACGCCGCAGCTCATCAAGGTCAAGCCCAGAGTTGCCGAGGCCGTGAACCGGGAAATTCAGACAAGGATCACGACTTGCTACCCCGGAGGAAAGAAACTACGGTTCCAGTCCCCAAAACTGTGGGCTCCCAACTCAGCTTTTGTCAACTGCTACGACGGGCCACAGGAGAACGTCGGGTGGCACAGCGACCAGCTGACCTACCTTGGCCCCCGCGCCGTCATTGGGTCGATATCGCTGGGCGTCGCACGAGAATTCCGCGTACGACGGATCGTTCCCAAGGACGGGGACGGCGGCGGCGGCAGCAGCAACTCGGCCGAAGACGCCGACGCCGAGGGCCAGATCTCGATTCACCTGCCGCACAACTCGCTGCTCGTGATGCATGCTGAGATGCAGGAGGAGTGGAAGCATAGCATCGCGCCGGCGCAGTCGATCGACCCGCACCCTGTGGCTGGCAACAAACGCATCAACATCACCTACCGCGACTATAGGGCTGAGATGCACCCCCGCCACACGCCAAAGTGCGATTGTGGGATTCCATGCGTGCTGAGGGTTGTGCAGCGGAAGAAGGACAATCACGGGAAGTACTTTTGGATGTGCCATGGCGGCAACGTGCCCGGCAAGGACAGCTGCACGTTCTTTCAGTGGGGGCGGTTCGACGATGATGGCATTCCTATTTGGACTCATACGAATCGAAAACTCAAAGCTTGATATTCTTACGCCTAGCAGGACGCACCCAACGACGGAACAGCATGCACGCTACTCCTCATTCATCATCAACATCGCTTGAACCACTCATGGGTTCACATACCCCGGCTGATGCTCAGTCTTGCCGTCTACGTGATGAATCTTCAGGCTCTTCAAATCCACCCCATGCAATACCCGAACATTCACAGGGTGTTTGTCCTTGGACCACTTGTGCCAAAACTGTGCCTTTTCGGTCAACGCATTGTATTCCTCCTCCGTCAGCGGGTTGAACTGGTTCGTGAGCGGGACGCCGCAGGTCTTGCAAAAGGTCTTTGCGAGGATGCGGTGGGAGAATGTGTAGCGGCCAATATTGTCGTCTTCTCCCGACAGCACGAGCTGGTCAGCGTCAGGTTTAACCCAGATGTAGGCGTTCTGCGATTCAGGTTAGCATCGCTTACGTGCGCATGGACACGATCAGGGTAGCGGCTCACTCTCTCGCAGATGCTGCAATTGCAGTCGATAATCGTATCTTCGTAAGTCTCGTCGATGGGCTTACTGATGACCGCCACCGTGACCGCGCCGCAGTGGCAGCTTCCGTTGTAGAGCTTGCCCCCTTCGATCTTGGCCGTCGGTCTCGGACCCCTATGCGCTGGAGGCTCATACTGGGCTCCATAACTTGCGCCATTGAAACTGCCAAGACGTCAGCAAGCTGAAATATATGGGGTGATGATGGGGGACCTACGGTTTTCTCTCCAGCTTGAGGGTGTCGAGGTCTTGGATCGAGCGCACCTGCATTCTTGTCAGCCCCAATCCAGGCGTCCGTCATGGGAGGAAGGATTCGGTCGGTCGGCTTACATTCAACGCTATCTTCATGTTCGGCGGCCCGTTGGGGAAGTCCACCATGATGGCGGTACCACAATTCCCACAGAACTGCAAGGATGAAAGTGAGCTTCACACACTTTAACACAAGGGGGATATTTTGTGAGTGAGGCCTCCTCACCTTATGGATCATTTGTTCCGACCCGAACTTGTAGCTGGAGAGGTCCTTCTCGGCGCCCTTAACGACGCGGAATTTTTCGGGGGCCGGCATGACCCAGAGAGTCCCCTTCTTGGTGCAGATGCTGCAATTGCACTCGCTCACGGTCTTGATTTCGGGGAGATCGACCTCATAGACGAAGGCGGCGCAGTGGCAGTTGCCACGGTAGGTCCGGTTGGACTCTTGCTCTTTGAGTTCGGTCATGATGAGGTTGTGTTTGGTGAGGCAATCGATGTATCCAATGGGGTTGGGATTGAGGGTGTAGAGATGGAGGCATGGACTTGGAAGTTTAGGTTCCCAGAACTACTCTTTATAGACTCGAGCCGGAGAGCTGAGATACTTCATTAAACAGCTAGTTTGAGACCTTGGGCGTTTAGTGAACGCCACATTTTGTTGAGCGCGAATTGACTTGACGGGGTCCTTGTTGAAACTCGTACAGGGTAGTGTATTCAACGCGAAAGATGATCAGAAAGCTTGAATTGGCCCTGCGGAGATCGCCTTAAGGACACTTTGGCTATTTTGATATATGAGTCACCGGCAAGACCAACAGGCCATGAACATTGCTTACTCCATGGGACGGTGCCACGCACCGTACCTCTGGAAGTACAATCTGTGAGCGCCACGTCGGGTATGTAGGTATAATGGCGGGGTTGAACGGGCGTTTGGGTCTAGGGTAGGTAAGCCACACCGACGCCGCGAATCCTAAATGACGCGTGGTTTCCGCGTCGTCAGGTGACTTTTGCATGGCCCTCTGGACAGTGAGCCAGTTAGGGAGTCGTGTTCTAAGATCCAAGTCGGTCTAGCTCTGCGTCAAGGACGAGGTCATGCAACGACTCGCGGCATCCTATCGCGTTGCCCCTGAGAAGGATTGGTATTGACATGCAAACCTCGGTCCAGGGACGGAAGGCCAGATAGGGTAGGATGACGTTGGTGAGTAGGCAGCAGCCCCGCAAAGGAGTCGGGACAGATGCCATTCTCGGCAACCGATCAAGCGGTTGGTAGTTGTTGAGTGGCTGAGGAAAGCCATTTTGCTTAAGCGAGTCCTTTCGGAGCGTAGATCTGGCATGTTGGGATGATGTTGAGACGAACACCCACTTATCAGGTTTGGGCGTTGACTTCCGCTTCACCGCGCCGTGTCGGAGGGCCGTGGTGGAGTTTCCCGTCAGCGCCGAGGTCCGCGTCTCGGCGTCCGAGTGTGTCAACCATGATATAAGCACCGAAGGTGCACCCAGCATGAACTCCGTAAGACAAAGATAGTCCGGCAAAATGAAATGGACTGAATTGGTTTTGTGTTACTTGGTGAGTCCGGCGTGTCCATCCATTACCTCAATGGGCACAACCGACTATGAAAGTCGGGCGTAAGTCGGATCCGAGACTTAAGCTTCGACTAACTCACCACTCGCCGTGCGTGAGAGAGGACTGTAACCAGCGGGTTTCGGAGGCCGGCGTGCCCAGACACCGGATGCTTTCTGCTTTGCCAAGAATCCTCTCATGATCCTTCTTTATCTCGGATCGTTTATAATTGCTTAATCAGTTGCGCAATAATATCTCCGTCCAATCAGCAGAATGCGCTACACATTCGCCAAGAATACCAAACCCCCTGTTAGATCTTCCCCCGTTCGTGCCATTTAAGAGATTAAGCAGAGGAGACTCCCCCGCACTGAACAACCACCCCGAATGATCAACAGTTCGGTTGTTTCCGCGTTTACACAGAGGCTCCTCACCGGTTCTCGTGTTCTCCGCACCCGTCGCGGGAGACAACCTTATTACAACGGCTATTGTAAATCCTAGAACGAATGCCAATCAAGGGAGAGTACGGATACATGTCCACGCCGCGTCATTCAGCCGAATCCATCACTCGAGCCCAACCCACTCCCCTCATTCCTCAATTCCTCCAGCGTACGGGACTTGCCAAGGTGATCACCATCAGCCGACTGCATACAAGTCATCGCCACCGACGATTCATCGGACGGATCTTTGAGACCTTGTCTCGTTCTGCCATACCTGGCAGCCTATATAAAAGTGACAACTCGCCGCCCTGGTCCCCTTTCGTCATAGGCCATGGCCAAGAGGAACATCGTACAGGTCTTGGGGTCGGTTTGGGGCTGATGTACCTTCCTTTATATACCCCTGCTCCGTTCCGTCTTGGGAGCTGCCGTGATGGGAAATCGTCCGCCGGCAGTTCGTTGCATCGCGTACGACGTGATGAGGCTTGGCGATGCAGAAGTGGTCTAGCAGCAAACAACGTGCCAACCAAGACAAACCAGTTTCTCCCTCCCTGGCTTTTGTACCTGCTTAGGCCAGGTCGGCTCTCGGTTGCTTGTATTGTATAGGAGGAGAAACATATTTGCTAGGTGGCTGAAAGGTCTGACTTGGACGAGAGGGCCCTGCTTACCGTCATAGCTGCCGACACTTTTCCTCGTGGGCTCTGCTGTGGCCTAAGGTTGCGAGCCGCGGGAAGCAGGACGGTGATGGGGCGTGGAGGGGGAATGATGGCCAAGATCTATAGACTGCAACCCCCGCTTCCGGTCTGCCAGGGGAATGTCAAGGAGCTTGCAGATGTAGGTGTATGATATACGGTGCGGCAGGCAAGGGCGGATGAAGAAAACAGACTCGCCGCCCCTGTCGAGTCGTAACGAACGTATTTGAAGGTGGTTATGGCCCTTTGCTGCCATGTGAAAGAGCAGGAAGCACATCGCGTCTCCTTCCCTGTTTTGCTGGTAACACAGGCTCTTTGCTTGCACAAGCACTTGGCTGCTTGTCCCTCGGTCTATAGATCTTAACTCTGAAGCTAGGCTCGACAGTCGTCTTCCAATCCCTCTCAAAGTCTCAGGGTATTGTCCTGAGAGACGATTACACGGCATACGGCAACATCTCCACTGTTCCGGCACAGGTATTCAAAGATGGCATCCGTCAAGTCTCTCGTCGCAGTAGCTGCGGCCATGGGTGCAGCTCTGCTGCCAGCAGTTGCAGGTCAATGCGCCGACCTGACGCCCGTCTCGCAACCCCAGCTGGCTCCCGGCTACTCGGCGAAACTCATCTTGAACCAGCTCAGCGACCCTCGCAGCCTTCAGTTTGACAGCCTCGGAAACCTGCTCATCGTCGAACAAGGCGGCACTGGTATTCGATACGTCAAGCTCACAGACAACGGCGGGGTAAATGTCTGCGTGGCTTCCCAGAAGCAGCTCGTTCCCAATGGAAACGTAGGCCACTAACAAACCTGACCTAGATCCTTACCCAGCAACGGTTTACTGACTGTTGTCCAGCTTACACATGGAATTGCCCTCTCAGCCAACGGCAAGACTCTCTATGCGTCGACGGCCACGGATGTGTTGGCCTATCCCTACGACGCCGCAGCTGGCATCGTCGGACAAGCCCGCTCCATCATCAATGACATGGCACAGTCCGGATACCATCAAACCCGTACTCTGCTGATTCCCAAGGACAAGCCGAACGTACTGCTCGTTTCCCGCGGATCAGCCCCGAACCTCGACCTTCCGACGGCCGAGGCCTCATCCGGCCGCAGCCAGATTCGGGCCTTTGACTTGAATAAGCTTACAGGCAGCCCTGTCCCATACACTTCTGGCGAAGTCTTTGGATGGGGATTGCGTAACAGCGTCGGTGTTGGAGAGAACCCCAAGGACGGCGGCATCGTATGTACTCGGCACGTGCAATGGAAAGTTCCTGCCAGCTAACGTTCTCTTAGTGGTCGGTCGAAAACTCTCTGGACGACATGGAGCGCAGCGGCGTGGATGTCCATAACGAGAACCCCGGCGAGGAACTAAACTACCACGGCAGCTACAAGGCAGCGAGCAATCCATCGAAGGGAGCCAACTACGGCTACCCCAACTGCTTTGCTGTCTGGGAGACCAGCACGATTACCGGCGTGCCAAACGTCCAAGTGGGAAGTCAAGTGATTCAGGGAAGCCCGTCAGGCAATGTTACAGACCAGTATTGCCAGACGGTACCCGTTGCGCCGCGTCTTACCTTCACTGCCCACACGGCGCCTCTGGACATCAAATTCCACCCTAACGGAGGATCCGCTTACATATCCTTCCACGGCAGCTGGTGAGTCTTTGACAGATTCGTAGTTGAAGCCAGACGAATGCTGACATTATTTGCAGGAACCGACAGCCGCCCGATGGCTACCGTCTGAGCAAGGTCGAGTTTGGTGCTAACGGACAGCCCACTGCTGCGTCAACCAGCAAGTCTGCCGAGATCAAGGTTGCGTGGAACAGCGACAACGCTGTCTGCCCTGGGAGCTGCTTCCGGCCCGTAGGGCTTGCTTGGGACAAAAAGGAAAGGTTGTTCATGGTCAGCGACTCTACGGGCGAGCTCTTCGTCCTCACGGTGCCTGCTTAGGAGTTGGATGAGCCGTGCTGCCCTTATGCGTGATGAGGGGACTTCCTTGAACAGTTGTTTTGCTTGGGATACGTGTTTTGGGAAGGATTTCTTGCACATGCTTAAGAGCCTATCTGGGGTTCTATAGATGTCACTGGATCGAGTAGCAACAAGAAGAAGTTTGGCCGTTAAGCTTTCCTCTTGCAACGTGCTGGTCCCTAAAGTCAACCGAACGTGTTGATGTTGATGTGTCTGTCAGCCGGGCACTGTTGACGGAAAACCACGTTGTGCGGCGGCTGACAGGGGAAACGCTGTTTGTCAAAGAAGGCAAACGAAACAGTTTCTCCCGCCGGGATTACCAAACATAGACAAGTGGGGGGAGGGGCAACTGACTGGTTGCCGTGCAGCAACGGCGAACCTCGACCCTTGCATCAGCCCGGGTTATAGTGGACTAGGTAGGCGGGGCCTTTTAGGGCGCGTTGCCTGTGCGCCTGTGCGCCTGCGTTTGTCTGCCGTTTTTTCTCGCCCAGTTGGGCAAGGCGCTTCTTAACCAACCCGCACCAGAACGTGTGTCAACAGCCAGTCCCGCGATGATGGGCGAGTGACAGGCACGAGTGCAACTACGAGTCGAGTCGGCACAGGCGTGAGATGCGGGTGTTGTGCAGATGCAACCAATAAAGCAGCACTCCAATCAGAAGCCATCCCAGTCTCATTCGTCCCCGTCCTCCCGTGCCATCCATCCATTCCCTTCTATTCTTCTCGTCTCCCGCCTTTCGTGTCGCCCACCTGTTGACTCCCCGCCTTCATCCCATATCGGGTTCACCCAGCGCATCGCTCGTTAACCCTGCCAGTACCTACGCGTGCGGTTTTTTTGGTCCGAGCAATTGCGCCATCATCTACGGGATTGATTAACGTCGACGGCATCGACATCTCGACGCCCGCCGCCAAGCCCCTGGTATCTGTCTCAGGCCTTGCAACACTGCAACGTCGCGGCCAACGGGTTTTAACGAGAACCCCGAGGCGCATCGCGCAGCACGATCGCGCCCCAAGCCTGATCTTTCACCCAACGTCTTTGCGCGCATCACGACCTACGACCGCTTGGCCGCGTCGTCCGACGACCTTTTGCGACAGTCTGTGCGAGACAGACTTAACGGCCAGTTGTTAGAGCCGTGATCGCGCCTCTGCAAGCGCTTGCTTTGCGACACGCAACTGCACCATTGTCCAGTCGCCATACGTCATCCCGACGCGCAAGACGACAGGGCGCAGGATGCCTCTCATTCATCGTCAAACCGCCGACGGCGTGGTCGTGGTCCCTGCCACCTACGGCGACTACTCTGATCTCGGCCCCGGCGCCATAGTCGGCATTACCCTCGGCGCCGTCGCCGGTTTCCTGCTCATTCTCTGGACGGTGTACATGTGCCTCAACTTCGGCCGGCCGATCGACACCTCATCCTCGTCAGTGTACACCGGTACCGCCTCGGCCTACTCTGTGCGCCGCTCCAAAAGCCGGCATCATCACCACAAACACCGCAGCCCCCGCACGAGAGTGATTGCGACGGAGGAGGTGCGGGTCAGGGAGAGGGAAAGCATCAGCAGGCCGCCGGGCCCGGTCATTGTCGAAGCCGCGCCGATGATGCAGGAGCGCAGGGCTAGCCGGCCGCCGCCTCCGAGGGTCGTGACTGATGACGAGGACGAGGACGAAGTGGTTGTGATTGAGGAACACACACCCGAGAGGAGGCGGCGGCGACACAGCAGTTCGCAACGACACAGTAGTTCGCGGAGGCATAGTCACCGGGGCGAGAGCCGGCGACGGAGCCGGGATTACTGAGGCTGGCGCGAGTATACCTGGATCGGACCTTTTCTTCGAACGACTGATTACTGTTGGATTTATGTTGTAATGTATCTAGCTCATGGCAAACGGATGTGCGTCCCGGTCAAGAGCCGCAGGTGCGATGTTTCTAGGAAGGCGATGAGCAAACGGTGTACGAAAGTTGGATGTATTGAGGCTCGGGTGGCTGTACGTCAAGCCGGATGTAGCGGTTGGAGACACTGATTAGAGCAAGAGGGAGGATGGAGATCAGATGGAACATTGGAGGGCGGGGTCTTTCCGGATGCGAATGACGGGAGGGATGGCGGAAGACGTGTTCGGTTTCAATACGAAGGCCAACATTCCACTACCCCGGAATGCTGATCTTGGGCGTTTCCCGAATACGGTAGGCTCACACATCCCGTGATCGTTGGTTGACTCGCTGGGTGGCGGCGACGCCTCCTGACGCGCAGCCTCGGTAGCTGGTGCCGATGAAGAGGTTACCATTTGCTCCTCCTTGCCGACGCCTCTTGGAACAGCTGGACCAGAAGACTGGTTACGTCAGAGATCGAGGGCTCGGTAAAGTTGGGAGTGTAGTATTGTGTCTGATGGGCGAATGTGCAAAGGTCAAACAATGTACTCTAGAACCTTCTTCCTACTCTTGTCTACTTCATGTTTGATACTCGAGAGCCCTCTGTCAGAGAAACAGAGGCAGCAGCCATTATAGCAAATCTACGCGCGCTTGTTATTTACCGGTTCCCCAAATGATGCACAATCCGTCCAAGTGTGTGGAATGCGATCGATCGATACGACGAGCGTACCTGAAAGATGGCCAAGGAAAGCAGAGGCTTTCCCGTCAGGTTTAACCCAAACCGAACAGTGGCTGGCGAGTGCCCATTGGGATTGGCCAATGACAGGACGGGAGCCGGATTTCACATGCTTTCCCCGGACTGCCTTTTAGAGGGACGACTGCACGCCAGGCTCCAAATAGTTTCAGAATGACATCACCTGCGAGCTTCGGCCTCCTGGGGAAGGGGCTACACGCAGCTTCTTCACAAGGGAATCAGGTAATCGACCAAAGGTTCCCCCAGGCACACATACCCCATGAGCAATGTTGTGAGGCGCTTCCCCCAAACTCCTTTCTGTCTCTAATTCCAACGCTAAAGTAGCCCCGAGAGCTCTTGCTTGTGAGACATCATAGCTCCTCACCCCGCGAATTTCGTCAAAGCTATCAGCTGGACCGGAACCTCCTTTTAACGTTTGACTTCCCTCCCTCTTTCTCTCTCTGGCTACTCGTCTTCCCAGATCGATCGTCTTTACTCTGTGCTACTGCGTCAAATCGACAAACACAGCTGCGGATACCTCCGTGGATTCTTTAGCTTGGTTGACATCAACACGTCGACGCGCTTGTCGACAGTTCGACACCACTTACTACCGTTTCTCATCTTAACGACATTGCCAACTCGCAGCTGACACGGCGCAAGATGGATCATCCAGGTACGCATGTCGTCTGCACCTTGCGCGGGACGATTCCTACGCACCACCTGCGTGAACCCCAGTCGCAGATCCCTTAGGCCAAGAGATGCCGCCGCGCCTAGCCCATTATCGCAACGACACACGCTCTCTCAATCTCTCTGTGCTCGACTCATTTTGCTGACATCACCACTACAGTAAAGGAGATCAAGACCGTCATCCGGGACCTGGTTCAGGGCTCACCGGAGAAGCAGAAAAATGCCCTATACTCCAACTTTACCGAGGACGCCGCCTTCACCCACCCCTTCTGCCACGTCCCGTCCTTTGGCAATGTACAGATCCCCTTCCTCTCCACCATCAACTCGCGCTGGCTCATCCTTATGGTCTACCGCTGGTACCGCATTCTGAGCCCCAACATTGAGATGGAGATTGAGTCTACTGGTACGTACAGTCGCGATACGCCTACCTCACGATACCGTGGTCAGAGTGCTGCCTAAGCGCGGCTACCGCGACAATTCAGCTCTCTCGCCAGATGTTGACCATTTTACAGTCCAAGACCAAAAGACCAACCTCCTCTACGTCAAGATGCGCCAAGACTTCCGCCTCTGGTTCGTGCCCTTCTACAACGCGCCCGTTGATTTTGTCGTCGTTCTCCGCCTCGAGACCCGCACCGTCGACGCCAACGGCAACCTGCTGCCCCGCGGTTACGGCGACTCCAACACGGTCGGCAACCGCCAGCGCCAGTTCATCGTGAGCCAGGAGGACCACTACCAGGTCGGCGAGTGGATCAAGTTCCTCATTCCCTTCTTCGGCTACTGGGCCTGGCATGCTTGGACCCTGTTCGTGACGGGGCTGTGCGTCATTGGTGCCTTCGTTGGATACCCTCTTACCTTCCTCTTCCAGCAGTTCGCTGTGAACAACAGCACCAATGGCACGGGCAGCAGTCAGGAGAACAAGAGAGACTAGCAACACCTCGATTGGCTACTACGGGAATGATACTAATAAGTGCGGATTATTCTGGAAGTCTATGTCGTGCGTGGGGCCGGCTGAGAAAGGGATCTCTGTTCAGTGTATGATTGTCCGAGCAGAATCAGGAGGAGGGCTTTGTTAGTGACGACTCTGTGGCAGGAGGTCGGGGCACAGTTAGCAACTTGCGCAGAGCATAAAAACATCCCGATTGAAACAAACACTAATGTTTTTAGCCGTTTTAGTGGGTGCTGAACATGTCCGTACTAGATCCTGTTGATCGTTTCCGGCTTGGTCCTGTTAGGCAAGCGCCGTATCCTCGCATCACCACGTGTTCAAGTGTAAACAGTCGTGGCTTCACCATTAAACGATCAGTTAATCAGTACATTACTGACAAGAGAGCAAAAAACACGGCTCCGAGCCTGTGGTGGCATTGCTCTGTCTGGGTCTCCTGTACGCAGCGTGTCTGCCGCGACTGCGTCGCGGCGGGCCTGTTTCCACCCGTTTCCCGTTTCCAATCTGTTTTACTTCCTTGCACAACCTGCCTTGCCTGTCTAGAGCCGGCTCCTTCCAGGTATTCGTCTCCTGGCGCCATAACCATCCTCCTCCATGAGAGGCCGACCCTACAGTATGTTTGCGTGTTTCATCCGCTTGTTGTTACGTATATAAATTAGGGGCATGTCAAATCACAGGCAGAGAGAGAGGGGGGAAGGGGCGTTTAAGGGCAGCCTCAGCGTGACAACCTCTTCTACTTGAATGATGCCCCAAGTCAAAGAAGAGCTAAGTAATAATTGCTTAGACAACGGACGGCTGGCTCGTCGTCACTCACCACCTACGCCCGCCAGGACGTCCCTCAGAAGGCAAGAGAAAAGAGAGAGAAGGAAAAAAAAACACGGGCTTCGAACCTGTGGTCCCTGGCGGGCACCGATATAGATCAGGGAGACGTATACCGATTGGGCACCAGGGCAGATCCGATAGGACGTGTTGTTTGGTGACGGCAGGATTGCAGAACAATTAGGGGGGGGAAGGGAAAGAAGCAAGGGCGCCTACCCTCCTCTCATAGACCTTTCCGTCGGCACGGACATCCCGACGCGGATTGCGATCTGGGGCTCCTCGTCGTTACCCGTAATCCATCTAATCACGGTGAGTTGGAAGCAGGGGGTGCGTTGGAAGCATGTCAAAGGAGAAACTCGCCTCCATTCAAAGGGGAGAAGACAAGTAACACGCAGAATATCTCGCTGGCTTGCTGCCCACCGCACGCAACACCACGCCGTCCTTCTCGCCCCCCCATCGGCTCTCTCACTGTCACTCCCGCTTTTTAGGGTATACCAACACAGAATGATTCAAAAAGCTGACCCTTTTCGCGTCCAGGCCCCCGTTTTAGATTTTTATAGACCGTTCCACACCTCCCGTCCTTCTCGATTCCCTCAAGTCCACGGCCTTTGTGGCCGGATTTTCGAGTTGCTCTCGTTCACACAGCTACCCCATGGCGGTCGCTTACCGCCGTCGTTCAGATCTTTTGTACGTATAGTAATAGATGTCTATAGACACCTCTTACAAACAGGAGTAGATTCATTCGCATGTATGTCCGAAACGTCTGTATCAGAAGAGTGCCTGGGCTCTTCAAGTCATTGACCAGGCTTATAATCCAGGTCTTCCACTCGCGTTTCCGCTCCCGTTGGGACCCTGCTGTGAGTCCGGCGCCTGCTGCTGCTGTTGTTGCGGCTGCTGTTGCTGCTGGCTGCCAAAGAAAAAACCGTCAAATATGTTCATCTGCTGACCGTCGCTGAAATCGTGGTGCATGTTATCCCAGTTGATGCCGAATCCCAGATCGAGCTGCGGCGTCGTCACGTCCCCAGACCCGCCGAGCTCGCCGTTCGGGTTGCCCTGCAGGCTCTGGAAGAAATCCATGGTCTGGATGTCCGGGTACTCGTTCATGTTATATGACCCTCCCTGCTGCTGCTGCTGCGTCAGGAAGGGGCCGCCACTGTTGGATCGCTGGGCTGCCACGCGGCGAGGAACCGATGGTGAAGCCACAAAGGAGGGGTCAATATCTGAAGGGCTTCCCTGACTGGGGGCCATCAGGCTGAAGTCAGCGGCGCGCGGAGAGTTGCGAGGAGGCAGCTCTCCGGCGACAGAAAGGCTGGGAGATGAGAGAGTATCGGATAGCGCCATGTCCATTTGGTAGTTGTTCTGTTGTCCTTGGTGTTGTTGGCGGCGGCGGGGAACGCTAGCACCCGACGTGGATGTCCCATCGCCCGAGGCGGAGCTCCATTCGAACCTGTTCTCGCGCATCTTGCGCGGTGGCACCGAGTTGAAGCCGCCGGTTGAGTTAGCCATCTTGACGGTGGCCTTTGCCGTCCGGTCAAAGGCATCGCGGCAGGTCTCGGCGGGCGGGCACTTGTCGATCAAGTCGGTGAAGACCGACTTGGCGGCCAAAATGGTGAAGTCTACTTCGTCCATAGTCTGTTGCGCTGCGTTAGAGCTACTCAAGTTCATCAAGATACAAGGCAACTTACCAGCCTGCTTCTGACGATGGGCGAGTGCCAGATGGCGTAGAGGTATGAAATGCCGGCCATGAACAGATGGTGTGTCGAAAGATAGGTATAACTAACCAGCCCGCTCAAATGAAGCTGGCGGTAGATACGCAGGATCTTCTGCCCGGCTTCGGCCACCTTGAGGTAGATCCTGTCCTCGTCCTCCCGTAGTTCCGCCTGGAACGCCGTCGGACTGTTCACCTCGTTCGAGGTGTTGTACTCGCCTTCAAACAAGGCGGGCACGCTCAGGCTCTGGCGGTAGAGCATGATGATGGCCTGCCAGTAGTTGAGCTCTAAGAACTCGGTCGAGAACGCTACGCCCGTCTCCTCCCTTGTCGGCGCCGAGTTCTTCCACTGGTACAGCCTGCGGTCGATGTCGATGCGCCACGAGCGGAAGGAGTCGAACCTGACGAGGAACGGGGATGGTAGGTGCGTGTGCATATCTGAGTTGGTCAGGTTCTGACCCGAAGCCCGCACGACCTGCGTCTGGTTATATTGCAGCACCTGCAGAATCTCAGATTGCAGCAGCCGCAGTTTGAAGTAATGATATGCTACGTGCTTGTAGCTCGGCTCAGAGGAGTCGGTGGCCATCTCCAAGAAGCCGGTCGGCGTGATGTACTGGTCATCCAAGAGCGAGGGGAACTCAGTCGTGATGACTTGGTCGCTGATGCCGAAGGGTCGTCCGACACAAGTGCTCACCAGGCGATCCAGGGAGTATGTGCACCACCATAACCTCCGCCTCATATCTCGGATATACAGTCGTCTGCCTCTTCCGCGTGATTGGGCGTTTCTCGCCTCGCTCGCATCGCCGTTCTCCTCCTTGACCTTGCCAGAGGGTCAAGCATTGTTGGTTCTACGTCGCTGCCATCCTCGTAGTGCAGGCCCAAGTCCACGGCTAGACGCACAGCAACGCCGATAATATACCTGGATAACTTGTCAACAAGACGTCTCACCAAGGGATCGCTTCAATCGGAGGGACAACTCACCAAAGACCAGGAGGCACAGGCCGCAGGAGAGCAAAATTGGCCAACAAAAGCACAGCCTGCAAAACCTCCAAACCACCGCCACTGTTGCCGAGACAAGCCTCGAGATGTACAATGGCGCTCGCGTGATACTCCTCCGGCTGAGCTTGGCCAAACGTGTTCGCATCTGCGGGATTGCGAGGTCCGGCACCCGAGCCCTCGGATTTTACAGGCTCACCCACAATCACGCCGCACCCTATCGCGAAGACCATGTTCAGCATGTACAGCTCCCGAGGCCCTTGTGGCCCGCCTGGGCTAGTGTACGCCCGGTCGAACATCTGCATAAACTCGCCGCGGTGGAGGATGGGTATTTGGGGATTTGCATGCTCGAAATAAAGCGTCACGAGTCTCATTCCTACGTCTCTCTCGGGAAAGTTGGCCGGGCGGATCGTGGGTTTTGTATGAAGTCCAAAGAAGGAATCCCGCATCGACGTCCCGCTGCCAATGGGTAGACCTTTGCCTCCAGTCCGGTCCTGGGTTCCGTTGTGATCTGACACCGAGTATTGTACGGCGGCGAAGACGACGCGATTGAAAGAAACGCCCGAGGCCGAGGCCAGAGACCGTGGCTTGGACGGACTGACGATGTCGAGCATGCCCGTGCCGCCCGTCTCCGCCTTCTTGGCCTTCTCCAGGTCGGGTCTGTGTATGGTATTCTTCGTCGGACCGGATCCGTCGATGCTCTCGGAGCGCGCTGAGGGCGCAGCGTCTGTGTTAGATTTTGCGATGTCGGCGCCGGGGCGCGAGCACAGCTCCAGGTTCTCGGCGGGCGGGAAAGGTATATTGTGGTTGGCGAGCAACGCTTCGAGCTGCTCGACGCGCGTTTCTAAGTAGAAGACGTAGCTTGAACACGCAAGTCAGTAAACCTAATCGACAACAACAGCGCCATTCCCCTCGCGAGGCAGCAGGGGCTGGCAGTTCGAGACGGCGGCATACCTTCTGGGAATCTCCTTCTTCGTGATGGGATCGTAGCCCACGCACGCAACGCCCGCCTTCGCGCAGCTCGCGCAGCTGGGCAGCTTCTGGTCACACCGGTTCTTGCGCAGACGGCAGCGGTTGCATGCGCTCACGTTGCGGAAGTTGCTGCTCTGGCCAGCTTTTCCTCCGGACTTATCGGCGGCGGCCAGGGCTGCACCGGCGCCGGCTATCGGATCATTCTGCTCGGCGGTGGACGGGCTCTGGTCGATGCCGGCGGAGGTCGGCGGGGATGCATCGGCGTCGTAGGAGCCCTGGCGCGGTCGCTTCGTCGGCTTGAGCGTTGGCGAGGGCGGCGAGTGGGCGGGCATCGTGCCTTTTCCCCCTTCGGACGGGCAGGCGGGCTTTCGGTCGGAGGAGGGGAGGAGGTTGGGAGAAGATGGATGGATCGGGTTGAATTTTCCGGGACGCCGCCGGCCGGTCGGGGAGGGCGGTAAGAAGCTGACTCCGATGAGGGGTAGGAGCAGGAAGTGAGGCTTTTGAGGTTGAGAGGAGTGATGATCGTCAGCCAACGGCTGGTAGAAAGAAGTGCGGTTCGGAGAGTTGCAGGTTGAGGATGGGAAGGACGTCGGTGAGGCATACAAAGTGCTGGTATACCCTGCTATCGCGACGCTATTTCGACTTGCACGGCGGCAGCTCCACACATCGTTCGGCAGTAGCACCGATGGCAGGAGGGATGGGGACCTCTTTTTGTCTCTCCCCTGCTAACGCCGCGCTAAATAAAGGTGGCTAAACGTCTGGGCAAAAGGTAGAGGAGGGGTTCACCAGGGAGGTGCGCGCCCCAGACAATATGACCGAGTCTCTGGGAAAATCGATATGTCCAAAGGGGAGGCGGGCATTCAGCTGGGATCTCTCTGGAAGTTGAGGATCTGGCCGAGGTTCAGGTCAGGATTGCGCATGTCGAGTTGAGGCGGACGGGGAACGCGCACACGATAGCGGGAAGACGATACAAGCGAGAGCAAGGCCCAGTAGCTTGTTTGGACGGTGAAGATTGTGAGAGAGAGAGAGAGAGAGAAAATAACCACAACGGCGCCGATCGCACACAAAGACGACGTTGAGCTGGCCGGCCCGGGGGACTAGCTAGGCTGCGGGACATGGGCAAGAAGCCAAGAAAGAGCGGGCAATTGCAACCTTACGGGGGAAGGGTCGGTGAAATGCAGATTGGGAACCTGCGCCTACAAGGGAAGGCAAGCACAATAACGTAAGGCGGAGGATGGAAGGTACTAAGTAGGCAGGGGGTGTAATGGACGCGCTAGTCGATAGGTGACCAATCTGCAGGCGACGATACAATCTTTTCGTCAACGAAAGCAACATTGCTCAGCTGATAGCTGATAAGGAAAGGGAAGAAGAGAGAGAGAGAAAAAGACGCCCCATCTCCAACTACGCTACCGGGAGGCACGCCTGCCACGGAAAGTGGAGGGCGGCGGCGCATGGACTAAGTGAAGACACAAAAGTTAAAAGATGACAGTGGAGTCTCGCTATCGCTCAATGGCCGAAGTATTCCCAGAGGAGCTGGACAACTAAGACATGCAATCCAATGGCATCCAGGTCCAATCTCAATCTTCATCTCAAAGCCTTTTCCCCTGCTCCATGCCACATGTGAAGCTACAATAGAAACCACCTCGAGGAATGTGATTCCAGTCCCCCCCCCCCCCCCCCCCCCCCCCCCCCCCCCCCCCGCACTGCGCGGCATCGAGATCCCGGCCGGTCCATTCCTCCTTTGGGTCCTCATCCCGCGCCGTGGACGTCGGCCTTGGGGGCCCTCTGACGCTGCCTCGCTTGGCGTGATGGCCGCCGGGTATCAGTTGGCACGCTTGAACCCTGGGGCCAGGGTGTGACGATCTGTCGCCGGCCGACTGGTTTTGATTGGCATACGTTTTACGAGGGCCAACTTGAAGCTCTTACATAGGCTGCGTGCCTAGACTTGAGGTATCAGGAAACACAACTTCTTATCTGTCCGTCGAATCCGGGACCTGTTTGAGCTTGACGACACCGCACACCTTCCTTCCTGAAGAGCCCATGGTCCTTTCCTTGATTGCCATGTTACGACCGAGGGCATCCGCTCATCTTCGCGTCCTCCCCCAAGCAGCCGCCACTTCACGATGTTTCGCTTTTCCAATTGACACACCATCGTCCCAGCCGATCCGGCTTTAATGTCGCCAAGAGGAATCTTGCCCTTCACTCCAGAGTACCGAGGTCCATCTTACATCCCAACGCTCCCCCAACACAGCTTAGCACGGGAACTAGCAGATGGGGGTTCTCCAACCTTTCCCAACCCACCGTTATCGATTTTCATTATCGCATCCTCCCGTGTCAAATTTCACTTCGCCTCATTACCAATGGCATCCCTTCTATCTCTCCTCCTTCGGCTGGGCGGCTCAACCCCACCCATACACGACAAAGCCAATATTGACGACTCGACCTAGCTGACCGTAGACGAGCCGATTCTCAGCGGCGCCAGAAGCTGCCAAACGCCGCTTACCGGGACTATTATCATCCGCATCCAATTGGCCTTGTTTCATCGGTCGGACGTTGTCGTGGCCGTCGGTGCCTCAATGCCTTGCTTGGTCCCAGACAAAACCGTCTTCCACATGAGATTGCCGAACGGAACGGTTCTTGCAGCGACTTTGGAAGTTGGGCACGCTGTTCCCTGCCCCGCTCCCTCTCCCGTCGGGCCGTTACCTATTGCTATCGAGAAACATCTAAGATCCCCATGCCACGATCCGAACCCGCCCACCCTGTCCTATATAATGCACCCAAAATACTACTGTATTGAAACGGCGTTGGCATGTCATCCGGCCAATGCGCACATAAAACCCTTCAAATAAGTTACCACGGTACTGCAACGTCCCCCCAGCCCGAGGGTGGGTGTTCGTTCTCACATCCCGCCCCCCTGGCCTCCTGATTGGTACCAAACTCACCCGTCCTCTGGATGAACCAAAGGCACCCAACAGCATTCCCGGAAACAACAATGCGGTACCCTCCTTCCACGGCTCCCCTACCAGAAACCTCTCGGGAGCGTCATCCGGGAAGCCAGTTCGAGAGCAACATGAAAAACTCTGTAGATGGTTGAGACCAAACTTACACCGGGTTTCTCTGGTATGATAAGTCATGTAACAATCGCCCCATTCCCTCGGTACGTCTCAGCGTTAAAACACACACGTTGCTCCCCATGCTCCGACAAATATATACATCACCCCTACCCCTTATTTCGTACCGCCTCACACTGCGGTCCGATGTTGGGCATTATCATGATAAATACAGAAGGCCATCTCAATAACCAACGAAGCCGACACGGCTTCAGGGTCTCAAGGCAGGTTATAGGGCAACTTTGATTTTTTTTTTATCAAGACTTTCCCAATGTTATCAAACCAGTACTTTGTCCCATCAATTCCCTAATAGAACTAGAAACCATGACGCCCCAGACTTGAAGCCTTATGCCACACAATCCGAATCTCCCTAGAAGGCATTCCGTAATCCGGTCACCATCCCGCTCATCTTCATCACTCTTTCCTCGGTACGTTGCTGTAAGGCCCGGTTGGTTCCTTGTGGTATTCCCTAAACAAATGCCATTTCGCTTTTTACGTTACGCCTCCCCAAATTTGCGGATTCCTAATTCTCTCTTTCCAATGTCGGGTGTCCCTTGGGCCTTCCATGGTATCTCCAACTCCTTTAGCCTGTTAAAATAATAATAATAGGAAACCCCTATGACAAAAGCGTCTGGTCGAGTGCCGCCAGACCCGGTTACATGATATGACGATGAAACTCCCGCCCTACAAGATGTGAAAATTCGAAGCGAAAGAAGAAATAAAATCTCCGTCATGCAGCCCGCTGATGGAAATGGTGGAAATAAAACAGGTAACAAGTCGTGAGAGTCCCGTGTATACTCTCTCTCCGGCTCGTCCGAATTAAATCGTGTGAAACCCAACCCTCCTTTTTCTCTGATCCCGTCATGTCCCGTGAACGATAGTCTATGTCTTGGTTGTCCCTTCCAGTCGATGATGAACGCCGTAGGATGAAAACTCCGATTGCTAAATGATGAAAGATTCTTTTGTCGTGAAAACTCCGCAGTGCTCGTGAGTCACATTCAGTAGTAGGATACTGAGCCTGTAGTCGTATCTTGGTCACGATCTACGGCTCGGGCCGGCCTCCACTTCGAACTCGTCCTCGTCGTCAATGGGGACTAACAGACCCTCGACTTCTGTTGATTCGACTGCCGTCTCAATGTCCTTCACGGGCTCATCCAGACGACCGCGAGGCTCGGTAAGTTGCATGCTGAGGAAGGCGCCGATGATGGTAATGACACCGCTGGTCCACCATGCGAGGCCGGAGTAGCCAGTTTGGATACCCAGGGAGTAGATGAAGCCAGAAATGGTCGGTCCAAAGGCTCGGCACAAGCTCGCCGTAGAGGCCGCGACACCATTAATCGTTCCAAGGGACATGAGGCTCGGCGCCGAGTTGGTGAGCAGAATCGCGTTGCTGGGGTAAGCCATGGTCGAGAAAGTGCACTTCCAAATGACCATGAAGTAGACACCAACCATTCTAAAGTTCTCCGGCAAGAGGGCCAGGTAAGGGGTCGTCAGGTACAGCATGAAGTACGAAATGGCCAACATTCTGAAGAGGCGGAGGGGTCCAAGGCGTCGAGTAACCCACGGGAAGATAAAAACCGTCGAGATCATGGAGTAAACGCCCTGGACTGCGAGGATGACGCCGATGGGTCCGGTCTCCATGGAAAAGCCGCCGACGAACTTGAAAGGAAGATGAGTGTCCGGGTGCGCATCCGGCTTGGTGCTGAGGAAGACAGGGAACAGTTGGTCGAACGTCATGGTGTGGCTGAGGAAGGTCAGCGGTTTGTGGGCTTCTACGAGGCAGATAAAAACTTACAAAGCCAAAATACCGTAGGAGATGATGTTCAAAATGACAGGCCTGGTGAAGATCTTTTTCGGTTGCTCAGTAACCTCATCACTGTTTGCGGCATCGCTCAAGTCCAGGGTTTCCGTGGGCTCGGGGATAGCAGAAGTAGAGCCAACGAGCTGGGGCGAATTCTCTGACGTGCGGTAACCGGGGAGTTCGTCGTCGTCGAGCAAGGCCTGCTTCTCTGCCTTGCGGGTCGGAATCTGGCAACTCTTGGTGGAAACCCATGACAGAATGCGCTTTCCCAGTTCAACACCTGGGTCCCTTCTCTTCTTCCTCTCAGCGTGGGTCTCCTCCAGGAAAAGAAGACCAATGATTACACCGCAGAAGACAGTGGCGGCACTGAAAAGATTCGGCAAGAGGTAGGGGTATCGGTCCCAGATCGTACCCGCGTCGAACAGCCAAGGATACGTGACGACAGGCCTGGCGAGTGCGCCACCAATGAAAGGGCCGACGATGGAGCTGTTGACAGTCAGGAACGTTGACCAGTGAACTTTGGCGAGTCGTGCAGTTGGGGTACGCTCGCCGCAAACCTAACTTACCCAAGGCACCAAACTAAAGGCATGATGGTGTATGCGCGAGCTAAGGGGGCCCATTAGTCTCTCATCTGTAACCGGGGAAAGGATCCGAACATACGCTGGTGTTCCTTGACTGTGACCAGCTCTGCGACGGTGGTTTGCAGCACACCAATGTTCCTTTTTACTCTAGTCAGCATCGTGTAACTTTTGCTGTAGATTTGACTGGGGCACATACCCGTTCAAAAGGCCGCCGAGGGCCCGCGCAAAAAGAGCAACGGGCAGGTTCGGGGCGAATCCAAATACCAGAGAGCTAATCGCAGTGCCAAAGAGGCCCATCAGGAGGACGGGCTTGCGACCAACTTTGTCGCTGAGTCTTCCCCACATAACGCCCGTCGAAAACTCGGCCAAGGTGAAAGCGGAAGTGACCATGCCGGCATAAACAGAGATTTTGCTCTCATCCTCGGTGATGTGGAAGTCCTCGACCATCCTGTAAATGTACGGGAAGATGGACATGAAGGCGATCGGTTCGCATATTCTGCAGAGCGCTGTTTTGAAGACCCGTCAGCGACCATTGCGCTGTATGACCCGTGTAAGACGGCACGGTGATGTCTAACTTACCGAGAACGAACATCTGTCGCATGGGAAACGGCGGCAGCTTGGATTTCGTGCTGCGCCCTGGGGAGCTGCCTCGGCGGCCCCCCGTCATGTAGCCTGACCTCTTCATCTTGGTGGTTCCTCCAGGTATGCGCAGGCGCGATCCAGTTGTGGGTGTACGAAGCTCGTGGGCGATTCGGTAAGCGGAGGTAAGTTGAATAGATCAAGGGATGCGCGGGCGGCGTTGTGATATATAGAGAGGACTGAGGGTTCCCAAGGAACAGTTCGGTTGGGGCAAGAATCGAGGGAGAAGACGGTATCGTGGTGCAAGTGGTCCAGATCGGTGTGGGCAAGAATTTGTTTTGCTAGTGTCGTCAAAGGGAGGACAAGTCTGGTTGCGATAGACTGATGATGTAACCTGGAGAAGCAAAGGTGAAAAAGCAAAGGTAAAACAAGCAGAGCAAGACCAAAGCTATCCGGGCACCGTGGCGGAGGGGTTACCTTATGGAAGGAAGGTATCAGATGGGAAAGGAACGAGCAAGCTCTGGGGAAGCAAGCAACTTAATATGAAGGGAGCGCGGACGGTGATGATGAGAGGACCAAGAGACGTCAAAGCCCAGGGCCACCCCAGACACAGACCAGACCCAGCTGGGTTGGACAGGCCACCGGGACCGTACCATTCATTGCCTGGCTGGGTCGCGGAAGCAAATTGGATCTAAGATTGGAACGGCGGTGACCATGGCATGTCCAGCGCAAAAAAGCAACCAGACGATCCTCCCACTTGTCCACCGGGGAGGAGGGATTCAGGGAGATGCGGCGGCGAAAGTCCCACGTCGTGGAAAGGGAATCCAACTGCCCGGCATGACGCCCGTGGGGCCTGAAAAGCCCTGTACCTGATCCAGGGGTACCCCCCCCCCCCCAGGCGGCCTTTCGGTGGGCTTTTTTTTCGGTCTCCATATCGAGGTACATGAGCAGTGTACCTACAATACGTAGTACACGCGCGGTCGAGAGTCGGGCTGGGGCGGGGGGCCCCCTTGCCCCTGTCGAGATGGCAGTCCCAAGGCCATGAGCTTTCGCCTTACGACAGTGGATAGGGAGGGTACGTATACGGCTGGGCTAGTACCTGGGAGGAGTGCACTACTCGGGTAAGACTTCCTAAGAGAAGCCGCTGCTAGTGGCAGGAGGGCGCGCACGGTAAGGAGAGATGGACCGAGAAGATTGTGCAACTGAGTTGAGCGAGTGAGTAGAGAGGGTACGTACTCGCTAGACCGACATGAACGGAGTAGGAAAAGTAGGCAAGGGGTGGTAGACTCGGGGAAGGATGGCGCCAGACCGGAAGGCAGGGATCAACAGAGGAAGGAAAGGAAAGGGAAAGAAAAAACAAAAGAAAATAAAAAAAGGTTTCACAAGAGGCAACGAGGCTAACTCAGAAAGGGAGGGGTTTTTTCTGGGGCCGGTTCGGAGCTGGGGTGTGGATAGTTGCAGGGCGCCAGCAGAAAAAACAAACGAAAAAAAGAGAGGAAAAAGAAAGGACGAAAAAGAAAGAACCAATCGACGGAAGAACAGAACAATGGGTGCAGCTTCGTCGATTGCGGCCGCGTAGCAGCTACATGCTGTTCATCTCCCATTCGCGGCCGTTTCCTATTCGCTCCAGCACATTGTCCACTCGACACGATCGTCCTCAGCCCTGGCGCCAGGTGCTTTCTCACGCAGTCTTTGCGACTGATTACCAGACCATCAGTGGGTAGGCTCGCCGTTCCGGATGCCGAGCCCGAGCTTGCGAGGCACACACGGACGGGACTCCTCCTGCAGAGAAGTCAGGTGCCGCAATGCTGTTCCTCGCCTTGCAAGGGATCAACGAAGCGACGAGATGCAGGCTGCCAGTGTTCGCGTCGTGTGAGGCACGACGGCACGCAAGGCAGGTAAGTAATAGTAGCTTGTAGCGTACGTAGCGTATCCGTACGACCCAAGGTTTTACACCCCCAGCACTTGGGTCGCATGGCTCTGCTGCAGCAGGGGTCGACATTGGATTGTTGTATGAAAACGACAAACCACCGGCCGAGGGCTGGTCAAACGCTAGTGGTCTGCGTAACTGTCGAGGGGGGCGCGGCCATGGGGAAAACCCAGGCTGTCCCTGTGGCTCAGTAATAGACCGCTTCCTTAGCAGCGTGGACTAAACCGGTTCCCCGCGCTGCCCGATGTTTTGCGGTGAGCGGCAGCACAAGTAGTTAGCCCTGCCACCTTTCATTGGGGGACGGGGGGCTTCCGTGACAGATCATCCTGAACGTTCTTTCTTCCTGTTTCCGCTGTCCCTATTGTTGGGTCGGGTCGAGTGAGGTGGGACGCGGAGACGCTTCCTGTGGCACGCGGAGCTTATCATGCCCTATAGACCTTGCATCCAAACGCCGAGGAATAGGATCTGAGCAACAAAGCCGGCTGATAGAACCGCCTCGTCTTGTCCTTCCCGTCGCTTTTGTGAGGCGGTGAATTGAAAGACCAGGGCTGCGGAGTGTCGCTCCCGACGGATACTGGCAGCTGTTGCATCACCGTCGACGTGTAAGAGTCAGAAAAACCATGCCGATGCCCTTGCCGTTTCCACTGCCGCTGCCGCTGCCGCTGCCGCTGGCGAATGACCCGAAGCCTGTTTGCCAAAATCTTGGGCATTTATGTGGACTTGCCTACCGCGCACTACCTACGCAGTCAACGTAGACATTGACGGGCCAGTCAATGCTGGATTCGGTGTGCTGCTGGATACGGGAGAGAGGGAAGCAGCTCCCGTAGTCATACGGTACTGCTATTTGCAGCGGCCGTATGCGGTTGTGGGGTTGCACGCCTCAAACGTCGCACACCTCTATCGGCCGAGACGAGTTTCCGGTGGCTACAAGCAACGCAGGCATTGTATGTGTTGTGACGTCTGAACCATGGCGACTCTCGGTGCTGCAGCTTGCTCAAGCGCTCTGCGTGTCCGTACCATGCCGCCAAGCTCCTGTTGGTCATATGTACCCTAGCCATGACAGCTTGCGATTGGAATGACAATGGCAGGCTATTTGCTCGCTCCCCCGAATGACCCTTCCGAACGGTGTAGAGCTCGTAAGGCGGACGGGTACCCAAAGGAAGAGGGCTCAGGCAGGGTGATGCAAGCCCAACCTCAGATTTCCATCCATCCCTTTAGCCATTCCCCCCCATCGAAGAGTCATATCGTGACATGTCGGCATCTTACTTGCGCACACCTGGTCACTTGACGCTGCATCTTACTCCGCATGATGGGGGTTGTTGCGCTGGCAAACAGTCAGCCTGTTTGCTGGCTGTTTGCTCGACGACCATTGCGTTGCCCCGGCCTCTTCTCCCAGCAGGCGTTTTCGCATCGTGGGGCACATACCGGTAGCCCACTCAACCGAGATGTCGGCGCCTGGAGGCTGAACCTTTGCCGCCTTGACAGTGACTGACTGACGTTGTCCTGGCGTAGTGTGGTCGTTGGCGGTTCCACGCAGCATGGGGCCACACGAAATAACCCTGGTGTCACCTTGATTAAGAGCGAATGTGGGTATTGGGGAACGAACCAACAGACTGGGCCAACAGCATGCAGTGGGTAGGCCGCGGTGCTAGGTAGCCCTTCTCCAGAGACAACCGTCGTGTCGGTGAAGTCGCAAACACGAGCCACGACAAATGAAGCGAGCCGGGGTCGTTATGAGTGGAAAAGTCTTTTTGATTTCTTTGACGAGACCACGACCCTGGTCTGCCGACCTTCATTTCTCTGGCCCTTCACACAAAATGTCCGATGATTGTATATGATGTACCTAACAGCGCCGGCCTGCCCCGTGTGGGTGAGGCGCAAGTCTGTCCAGCTGTCGCCTGGGGTACCTGCCATGGTTCGCCTCCCTAATAGTTTTCCCTTCCCATTGCTTTAATAGGGACGTTGAAGCCTGTCGTGTCTGTCTGTCCGGCAATGTACGGAAGCGCTCGGACTCAATTGTCGCAGTTAATCGGTTGAAAGGCTCATGTGGGCGTCGTGGAAGACAGAACGGCAGGTGATATTCAGGAGCTTGCTGTTTGGCAGCTTGCCACTTTCAAAATTGACGATCCATCCGACAAGGTCAAGGGGCTGAACGTCAGCGCAAAGTTTGAGATGCGGAAAACGAAGGCGTCGGCTGGCGTGGATGTGGGCTTGGGCACGAGCTTGGGCACAACGGGTGGTTTCGAGCCAAGTGCCCTGTGTGTTCTGGAGTCCGTCCTCCCCTTCTCTGGCCCTCCTCCCCTTCTCTGGCCCTCCTTTCCCTCCCTTCCACCCCCGCCGGCACCGCTGGTTTCCAACGTTGAGCCCAGAACCGAGGTCTACCCCAGTTTGCAGAGCATGAGGGAGATAGGTTGACGAGGCCTGGTCCCTGTCTAAAACCATGTGGCATGGCTATATCCTTCCCCGTGCTGCTGCGTAGTCTGGCTCCGAGAAATGTACCTTAGTCAGGGTGTCTGATGTCTCTACCCAGGCGTGCTTTGCACCCAAGGTTGTCGGTAACACTTGGCGACCGCAGGCAAGGGAGCCTCATGGGTCGGTGAACCTGCCTGTGGCGCTGACAAGTGCCTATTCCCCGCTGTTGATGAGTGCACTGTCAGTCGACTTTGATAGTCACGAACAAACCTCGGCTGGAAAACCTTCCCCCCCCCCGCCCGAAAACAGAGTTTGCCATTACCGGTCAATGATGAGAACATGGAGGCGTATAGTATTAGATAAGCCATTGTGACTGCATGGATGCGGTTGTCATTTACTGCCCGAGCGTGACCGGATAGCATCCGCGCCTTCGACGTTGGTGAGCCTGGTCACAACCTGGTCTTCCGTGGTCATAGCTTTTGTCTGTGACCGGCAACGTGCAATTTTCGAGTTGCATCGACCGCCGAAGAAGAAAGCTGTGCCCTAAGCAAAGACGACGAGAGCGCGCGCGCGCGCCCCAGCCAAGTCGGCCCGCAAAACGAAATGGCGGTGATCCCCTTCCAGGTTAATCACAATCAGGGAAATTGGCTTTCGTTTCTGTGCTAGATCAGGGGTGCCCGGTCTCGCATCCCTGCGAGGCGTCCAAGCAACCCCATACAACCGTTCCTCTGGGCCCTGATCGGGCGAGTGCCGGAACCGGTGCC